CAAATACCATGTTTCGAATTGATAATAATGAAACATGTGTTTGTTTACCTAATGCATCAACAACGACCAAAAAATAACGAAATGGTCTTGATATTGGATTAATAGGACCACAAATATCACCATGCAATCTTTCAAGCATTGGTGGTAATTCTTATAGAAGTTTTCAAATTGAAAGCCGAGTAATCATTTTACCTTGCATGTATGCACGACATAATTCCATAGAATCTACATCCGCATGCTTTAAATTATGTCTAGCTATACATGGAATGAACTTTCTAAATAATGTGGATCTTGGATGTTCCAATCGTCCATGCCAGAGAGAAACATGACTCTCTGTGATAGATGATGCAAAATTAAATATAATGGGAGACCGAATCATAATTCGATATAAACCATTTCTTATAGCAAAAGCTTTTTCAACAATTTTATGGTTCTTTGCAAGAACCAAAATCTCTTTTCTATTTAAAATGGTGGTCGAGAGGTGATAACCATTAATACGCATATCTCGGTAGCTGATCAGACTCCAAGGTGCTGAAGGTGCAAACATCACATGTTTACATTTTATGATGGAATCCGTAGGTAATTTTACCATCACTATGCCCTCTTGGAAACAAAACGCATTTGTTCCAACCATAGTCATCATATTTTTAGTTTGCTAAGTTGAAGGTTTTTCAATAAAAAATCGTCTATCTCACAAGATAGTATGTGTTATTGCAGAATCAATGAACGCATCATTTGATTCATTATTAAAGGTTTTGTCATTCATATAAGCCTCTAAGTCATCAATACCAATTGAATCCATTGATGCATCCATGGTATGAACTTCATGAGCCTCAACTTGTAGTTTCTTATTTTCTTGGAATATTTTAATAAAATATTCTAAAATACAGCAAGAATGTGCTAAATGTCCAATCATTCCACACTTATGGCAAGAATGCATCTTTGATTTTTTTTTCTACTATAATTAATAGTAGAACGTTTATTCTTTCCATATGGGTAGAAATAGTCATGACTATGACTACCCTGATACATATGAGCATGTTTCCCATGTTTATATAATTTCTTCTTAGACTTTGAAATATTAAATATATCAGATTTTGGAATTGTAGTTCCAATAGGACGAGCTTTTGCATTGCACAAGAGTAGCTCATTTTTCTTCTCCGTAAGAAGTAGATAGGATATGAGATCAAAATGACTCTGAAATTTCATGTTCTTGTATTGTTGTACAAGCACAGCAGATACAGGAGGAAATATACATAGAGTTTTCTCAATCATTTCTTCTTCAAAAATACTTTGTCTACATAATCGTAATTGTGAGACAATACTATACATTTCACTATTGAAAGCATTTAAATTTGAAAAATCCAAGACACATAAATGTGTCCAATTATGACATGCACGTAGAAGAAAAATGGTCTTTTGATGATCAAACCTAGATTTAAGATTCTTCCATAGTTCTACAGAATCTTCCATTTCCAAATATTAATGTTGTAATGTAAGTACAAGATGACAATGAAGGAGAAGAAGTGCTTTCCAACGAATAGCAGGAGGTATAGAAATACTTATTGTAGGAGATTCTTCAAACATAACGACATCCAAAAGTTATTCTGTAAATAAATTTGTTTTTGCCATTTTTGTCCATAATAGATAATTGTTTCCATCCTCAGTCAATGGTTGAAATAAAAGAGCTTGAAAATATTGGGATGTACTAGTTATAGTTGAAACCATAGTAGAAGCAGTTGAAGATGTTGAAGCACTCATTATAAATAAATCTATAAAAAAAATACAAGATCAAGTAGAAAAGTTGAGTAAAATATACCTTAAAATATAAAATCAAATAAAATAATAAACTTGAATTTGAAAAATAAAAATATTATTATTTATTTATTTATTTATTTATTTATTTTTAAAGAGGTTGTAGATTAAGACAGCAGAACAGTAATAAGATGGCACCAGTAGGTAGCGGTAGGGTGGCAGGGTGGTAGCGATGGGTGGCGGCAATAGATAGCGAAGGGCAGCAGGTAGCAACATCAGTGGCAACAGGGTGGCAACGGCAAGTTTGGTGGCACTTTGGAGCATAGCAAGGAGCAAGCTGGGATGGAGCTAGGTTGGATCAAGTATTCTAAGCAAGTAGGGCAGAGAGTGGAACAAGTGCTCTAAGCAAGCAGCTAATGTATGAGGGGCCAGCAAGAAGAGCAACAAGATCATGAAGCAAACACTGAGCAAGAGTAGCAACAGGTTTGAAGAGTCAAGACTAGAGCAAAAAAAATTATAATAGTATGTAGAAGAAAGTCGTGCTGATAACGTATTGAGAATGTTTTAGAAAGACACAAGAGTAATAGTAAGTTATACACATATACAAGAGTAGTAGTAAGTCATACACATAAGAGGGTTTCTAAGGAGAGAGAGCTTCACACATAAAATTCTATTGATTTGGTTGTGTCTCGTATACAAGAAGAGAAAAGGGGAGATGATAAACAACACTTCTCCACTAGACTCTAAATATTGTAGCTATGGTATTTACTGTAGTCTACAATAAATATTATGGAGAGCACCGGCTACATTTAATGATCTCAACATTCCCAATGCTTGCTCCTTTTGTTCCTCGCTCTTATCTTGACTACCGTCATTTCCACCTCAAGATCCTTTTGTTTTTAGCCTTAATTCTAGCCCTCTTATGCTTGGCCCTTGCTCTTGCTTCCTTTGTTCTTGGCTCTCATCCTAACCCCCTTCATTTCTAGCCTCTTCTTCCAATAAAAATGTAAGAATTAATCAAGTAGATTTTTTTTATTATATTCAAATTAGCTCCATCAGTGCTCGATGGATTCTGCAATTATATTTTTTTATAGTTGAGGTCTATATATAATTCAGGTAAATACTTAGATTAGTATTATAATATGTATTCCAATGGCATAGATTGGTTCCGAGATGGCATTGTGTGTGTTTTGTTGTTCAAAATTTGTGTCAATATGAAGCAAGTTGGATTAGCCATGAAATTAGAATGTATTTGAAGCATGTTATGACACAAATGTTGATGTAGTTGGCGAGTAATTTTGTTTCAATAAGAATATTTGCCTTTTTGTAAAAGCTTGGAAGAGCTTTTTAAGAGCTTAAAGATAAGAGCCTATAATTATCAGAATTTACTTGAAAATAAGTGGATAATTATTTTTTGTTTTTGTTTTTGTTTTCTTTTAATTAGAATGAAGTTGTGGTTTTAATTATGAATACTACCAATTTGTAGTTTTGAGCTACTATATTTTATATAATTCAAAGTTTTCATCAATCTTTTGTTGTGATTTGATACTAATTAGGTATGGTGATAGAAGATGGTAGCACCCTTTAAAAAGCTCTTTTTCAAACTTCTAAGTAACTAACAATGCCAAATCTTTTTATTGGCAATAAACACATCAATTGCAACGATGCCATCAAAGCATTACATAATAAGGGTGAATTTGTTATTAAGATGAAAAAAACAAGAGTGCTCAAGGTCAAAGACAAAGAAAAACTACATCCTAATGACATGGTGAGGAAGGCCAAAGGAAAATTTGCCCAAAAACAATCTCTAAAAGAAGATGGTGCAACAAATTTTGTGGTTAAAATTAACTACCAGTTTTATAGATGTTGGTTTATTTTGAATAGGACAAGGATTTGTAAAGCCTGAGATTATATTTGTCAATTGATAGTTTGTATTTGGCCTACAAATAGACCATATCCTATTGTATGATACATAATAGAATTAATTCCAAATGATTGTCTAATTATGATATGTACTTGGTTGATTAATCTAAGTCAATTCTAAATTGAGTGCTTCATGTAAACAACTTGTGGATTTCATTGATTCCCATCTTTCTCCTACTAAAACAAAGTGTTGTAATCACATATGTTCTACCAAAGAAAATAGAACACATGCTTCATGCAATACTAAGAGCTGAAAATGCTAGGACTAGAAACAAGGGAGGTAGAAACAAGGGAGGTTGAGATGAGAGCTAGGAATGAAGGAGGTCAAAATGAAAGATGGAAATGGAGGGGGGGGCTCAAAACGAGAGAGGTGGGGATGAGGGCTATGAAGGTTAAGATGGTTTCTGGAGATAGTACATTTTTCTAATGATGGTTACAATAGGGTGGATCTATTTAGTAAAACAATGGATCATTTTAACATTCTCCTATATATATATATATATATATATATATATATAAACTTGAGGCTTCTACACATTGTAACTTCTTTTTATTGTAAATTCTATAATCCAGAAATTTCACAACAATTTATATAATAAATACTTTGGACTTTCGGTTGTCTGATCGAGTACCAATGTTAAGAAAGCAGCGAACATTGACCAACAACGCATGCATCTGAGGGAGCCAGCTTACAACCGGATTCACACCCGAGCGCTCCAAAATTCTGTCATCTAGCCCCGCAGCGTCGACGAAGCGTGAGGCAGAGGCCTTCCACTGATCAAGAGAGAAAGAGAGACAGACAGTCCGAAGCCAAGGGGGATCGTAAGACTCAGCGCAGCAGTTGTGATTCGCAACCCGACCGGGTGGTGGGGCGAAGTCGCATCAGGGAGGGCCTTTTGACGATTTCAAAGGGAAAGATTGCAGAGATGGGATGGGGCGGCACCGGCCACGCAGCGGCAGTACGTCTGGTGGGGGCACCAAATGAGAAAATCAGGTGTTGAATTGAGTCTTTTACAGGCCCAGCAGCAGCAGCAACCCAGTCACTCAATGGAGTCGCTCATCGCGATGCGAAGCTTTCTTCAGATGGTTCTGGACTCTTCTGGACGTCGGAGGCCTAAACTGGAGGAGGGGGTGGGCGGTAGGCTTCGGAGCTATCGATCACCGTGGCTGCGGTGTGAATGGGACAACTCCGTACCCGTCCCTATACCCGCGGAATTAGCTTTTTAATTTTTGGATTTTGTGCGGAGACCAGGTCCATTTCCACACTTGCCTCCCGCCTACGCGTAGACCCTCCAGGCTACTGCCCCTGCTAAAGTTCGTCTTGTGGTGCTCGCGCTCACTCCCGCCCCCGCCGGCCTTCCGTTCTTCACCTCCCACCCCGGGCTCCAGCTGCTCCCCTTGTTTTATCGCTTCGCCTCATTGGACCTTCTGCTCTCGATTTTGTTTTAACTTCCTTCAGTCAATTCTTGCTTCTAGTTAGCTTTGCGAAATTTCAGCGTGCGCCTCTTTCGGTATTATTTCTTAATTTAGCTTTCGTTGGAGGTCTTTGCAAGCTGTTGCAAGCGCTTGTGGCTGGCGCGGTGGAGCGGTGGAGCGGTTTTTTAATAGGGACGAAGTGATTTCCAGCTTTGTTCGATTTTGTTGAAGAATTTTGTGGCATTAGGCGTTTTAAGCTTCCATTGAGGATTTTTTTTGTGCGCCAAGCTTGTTATTGGAACGATTTACACGTTGGGATTGGAGTTCTTTTAGTTCCGGTGCAGCTGCGTCTCCATGTTCCAGGTGCGTGAGCTATCGATAGCCATCCGTATAGTTGCGTGTAGTTCGGCTGTTCAGCTATGGTGAGATCGGATAGAGTGAGAATCGATTGTTGAATGCGTAATGGACGAGTTCCGATTGTGAATTACTTTTATCAATGATGAACGGCGCATTGTGGATTGGAAGGCTGGTATCTTAACCTTCTTTTAACTCGGGCGTTACATTCCCTGGAGCTGAACACACAAGCTGATCATCGATGCTCTTGATTTTCCTCCGACGCAGCTGCTTAGAAATTTGTTGTGATTGTCGATGACGGAAGTAGTGTGCACTGTGACTCAGGTAGTCGTAGCGAGTGAGATCGTAACCTCCTCGCAAGCAATGCATTTGGTACGCCAGACGGCCAGCTAGCTATGATGAAAACTGAGCGGATCCACTGATTCTGAGTCATGGACTAAAGAAACAAATTGAGGCCCTTTAATAAGTTGGTTCCTTTGCGAGACTGCGTTACACCAGTTCTAAGTGTTCATCGCGAGAGATACATTTTCCCGATGCCAGTCTCGTCAGGATCCGAAACTTCAGTCACACATCTAAATTAGACAAAGTATATTATCTGTTAAGGTTGTGCGATAGAAACTTGAATAACGGCGTACGGTTTTTACTCTGCTTTAAAATTTGTAAGGACTTGCTTTCGAATGTCTAGAGAGGAGTTGGTGCGTGATTTGAGCGACTCAATTGTTATGCAGGTACAGAGGTGTGTCCACTGGGTAGGAGGCTCGTGAACGTGACGGGAGACCAATCCAACACATGCATTGTTGATCGCGCATTGAAGTTTGATAAGAGTTCGAGAAAATGTGGTTCGTTCCCGAATTTCCGAGACTCTTCTCGCGCGCTGACTACTATCAGCGCAGCAAGAGTGTGTGGGAACATACAGGATCATGGGGTCCTTCGCTCCCGGTGGCAATGGTCATGGGCTTGTTTTGTGCTTACGTGTGGGCAAAGCTTAAGCCATGGCTGTCGTCTAACCAGGTGGACAGAAAGGAATATATCCTACAAGATTTGTCCAATGCAAAAACGTTTTTGACGAGTCTTCACGACAGTTTGTGGAATTCGAGATCGCCTCCACAGAACACTGAGACGATATCGAAAGCTGGAGAGGACGTCCTCTTGCAAAGAACCGCTTCGCGCAAGAAGGATGGAACTAGGAAAACTTCTGAGTCGATTACAGGCACATTGACAATCGGAACGAGTGTGGAGAAAAGTGAGGTTTCAAGATTAAGGCGTAAGCTTCGTCGTGTAGCGCAAAAGGAGCATGTGCATGAAATTTTGGAAGGTTCTGTACTCTTGCAAACGCGCCTTCCAATCACGTCTAGCCTTTTGAGCGAGGCGTTCGATTTAGCTCGCCAAGCTATCGCCCTCGACCCACAGAGCACTCTGCAGCTGGGGGGCTGGGGTGTTATAATGCAGTCAGGTGATTCAATTTGAAAGCGACCCTCTTCATGATACTAGATTTCCTTGATTACAACTGGATCGTTACATTCTCTTACAGTCCCCAGTTTACTTAAATTTGAATAATTTTGTGATTTTCCCTAAGCTATTGGTGCGATAATTCATTTACTTTGAGATGCAGAGGGCGAGATTAAGCTTCTACGACTTGAGGATGGTGATGCACCTGTTCTGTTTGATTCATTTCGTGAAGAAGGTATCTTTGATTCGCATTTATCTCTTGTAGGCTGAATAACTTTACTGCAGAATGTTTGTAGCAACGTAATCAGTCGACAAACCCTTCTTCAAAATAGCAGCTGATGATGAATAACGATGTTCTATGCATCCTCAAACCATATCGTATTGCTTTTCAAGTGTGATCTAACTTGTACCAACTGGAACCTCGTCTCATTCAGTTTTCATTCCTCTTTTTCTGACTAACTTCTGTAAATCCTTGAGGCATCACTGAGTTCGAATGCTCTCATTAACGCCAAGAATACAATGCGTTCGTGTACATTTATTTACACCAAGTTGTGGAGTTCAATTACACGGCCCCACTAGGAGAATTCTGAGATGAGCAGCGATTTTAAAACGAAGCTCAAGTTTATTGTCTGTCTTTCCGTTTAATCAACTTGGTCTGCTTATTTGTGGAATTGTCGTGTTGAGCAGACCTAGATTTGAGGGTCGAGGGACTTTTTCTTCGAGGAGTACAGATCAGGGCAATCACAAGTGAAACTAGTACTGTACTCAGAAGCAAAACTCTTCTTAAGGTAGCCGTATGTTGGTGCTAATCGGAAGCTATCTTGGATGATGATTCCGCCTCAGCAGACACTTCAGAGCTTGAAGACCTGGTGCATGTTTAGTTGCTTTGTAAGGACCAAAAATTTCATGTCAGTATTGTGCACAGAAGCAAGATGTGCGGAAGATTAACTAGGTACCATCGCAGGACGAAGCAGGATGGATCGATGTGCTCATAGTGTGGCCGCCTTTTGTGACGCTGAGCAAATCTTCACTCCTCTACGCGACCAAAATCGTCGAGTTTAAAGGCGTGGTTGTTACATTACGGAGTAATCTTATTCCAGTTTCCTTCAAACCGAAACCTAAAGATGAAGGTAAGTTTCTCCATGCTCCAGGACATTAGATTCGCCATCTACAATTTGAAGAAGTTTGCTCTGGAAATTTCGCATTTTGAGAATTACATTTGAGAAGAGGTAGTGATCCTTGATTCAGCAATTCTGGATCAAAGTGGTACTTCAAGCTTGATGGACATTGAACATTTATGTGGCAGACCACACAGGCTTGTACCTCGCAGCTGCACTGGCGTTTGTGGTGGCCCTTCTACCGAGTTCCTTCTGGTTGCCAATCCTCGGCCAGATTGGTGTGATGTTTCTTCCAGTGTTTCAAATGGCAGCTATAATCCTTGGTTGGAACTTAGGTCACTTTTTCCTGCTTGGAGAGTGGCCCAGTACAGGAGGGTAAGCAAATGGCACAGGCCTAACATCATTTCGATAGGCTACAATCAATGGGCAGGTACTTTTATACCGTCTTTCTCATTTTGTATAACAATTCTTGATTCTTTGCACAGCGATCGCGAAGTGAAATTGGATTCAGAAGACGAGTTGAAGGAATTCGGCGACAACCTCTACAAATACATCAGTCCATGGGACAGGTAGACATGTAGGCTCATATTGCAAGACCAATTTCAAGGTTGCGTCAATCAGTGTATGACAACAGCCAGGTGATTGGATTTATCTGTAGCTCATGATGAGTACTGCTAGAGGTAGACTGACATTGTGAAACGTTGAATGCTAACTACCGAAGTGCGGTGAGGATGGAAATGAGCGATCTCCAAAGCCATCTCGCGAAAAAGTTGGAGTCGCAACCAAGTGTAAGCAACGCAGGGATTTATGCTCAACAGGCAGATTATCGCACGGAATTTTGGAGAAAAGGTCTTGGGGAAATGGACCTGGCCATTGAGATTGACCCGAAAAGAGAGCTACCTTACAGGTTCGTTGCAATCTTCAGAATATCTAGCCATGTTTTCCCCCACGAAATACTGATTCGAGACTTCTTATTGTGAGACGAGTCTTCATAATATTAGTGCAGTATGGTTGAGTTGTGCAAGTCTTATTCAATCAGTAACCTCGAAACTTTTCCCCAACTTTACATGTTATTTCCACATGTGGAGCCCGGTGATACCCATTGTTAACATGTATGAATTGAAAATGCCAGGATTCGAGGTTGCATCAAAGGATTAGCAGGAGATTATGAAGGAGCCTTAGAAGATCTGGATCAAGCGCTTAAATTGAAAACCGACGACGTCTTGGCACTCGTTGATCGAGGTGTATTCAAATTCTTGGGAGCTGACTTCGCTGGCGCCCTGGCTGATTTAGACCAAGCAATCAAGCACGATCCTGCTCAACCTGCAAATATTTTGAAGCTCCGAGACACGATTGCCAAGGTTGGTACATTGCAGATAATTATTTTGGGAATATACCCCCCCCATTTGCACCAGTAATCCTCGAACAATGTGAGTATGTGGCAAAGGTGGTCTGCACGTAGTCTTAAATCATCTGTGATTGCTACTCGATTACTAACATTGATTGATGCCAATCTCATCAGCAGGCTAACTTAGAGTACGTTATACTGTTCGTAGATTTTGGCTGACCGAGAGGAGCTTGCCAAGCTACGAGAAGAAAACCCAAGACTTAAAGCTGAATTGGAAGCTCTGCGCGCTAAATCTGAAGCTGATCTGAAGGCGGCTCAAGACAAAGCTGCCGCTGATCTCGAAGCAGCTCAAGCCAAGGCTGCCTCTGATCTCGCAGCAGCTCAAGCCAAGGCTGCCGCCGATCTCGAAGCAGCTCAAGCCAAAGCTGCAGCCGACTTAGCGGCTTTGCGTACCAAGGCTGAAGCAGAGGCTGAGGAACTGCGTTCCAAAGTCCAGAAACTCCAGAAAGATCTCAAAACCGCCCGAGATACTTTGAGCAAAGTGCCATCAAATCAAGTATGGCCATGATCTCGCACATTCTTGCATAACTTTTCATTGGCAGTGATTCAGGGCATCCTTCGAGTAGCTTTGTACACTCATTGACCTTGCATTTTACCATACTTTGCTGGGGTGCAGACATTGGAGTTTAAGTACAACAATCTCTGCTGCGAGAAGTGCGTCCGAGATATTAAGGCTGCTCTATCGAAGGTTCCTGGTGTGTACTCGTTACAAACTGTATATTGATCTCAATTTAGCCCACTTGGAAATACACCTGCAATGCCAACTATCATACATGGGGACAGTATTGATTCGCTGGGTATTTGGGGCTTCAATCTCTCTGCCATTTCACAAGATGTGGTTACCGAAAATCTTGACAATTTGGTCTGTCTTTTCTCCTTAAGACTTGTCATTACTGATGATTGAGTGCTGAGTTTGGTGTGATTTGTGCGTGCTTGTATAGGGGTAGAGTCAGTTACTGAGGAATTCATGGAAAACAAGGTGATCGTAACGGGCTTCATATCGGCCTCCGTTGTCCTATCAGTCTTGAGGAAAACTTCGCCCAAGAAAGTCATCTACATTGTTGGCGAAAACGTGCCTGAAGATCCTAGTTCCTTCGACCCAGAATCAACACCAAGGGACATGCATGATGCTGAACATGAAGCAGCATCCGAGGCACAACCTGAAGCTGCACCGGAATCCGCCCCTGCCCCTGAGCCTGCTGCTGAACCAACTCCTGAACCAGCTCCGAAGTCTACAACAGAGCCTGCAGCCGAACCAGCAGCAGCAGCAGCAGTACCCGACCCTACACCAGACCCGGCGGTCGAACCTGCACCAGAAACGAAACTGGATGTCCAACCGGAGGCTAGCGGCACAGCAGGACCTGCAAAAACGTCTGAACCTGCGCCAGAAGCGGAGACTGAACCTGCAACCGAAGCCAAATCGGTTGCTGAACCGGAGACCAATAGTACCACCAAACCTGCAGCAGAAACCAAACCGGATGCTGAACCGGAGACCTATGGTACCACTGAACCTGCAGCAGAAACCAAACCGGATGCTAAACCGGAGACTAATGGTACCACTGAACCTGCAGCAGAAACCAAACCGGATGCTAAACCGGAGACTAATGGTACCACTGAACCTGCAGCAGAAACCAAACCGGATGCTAAACCGGAGACTAATGGTACCACTGAACCTGCAGCAGAAACCAAACCGGATGCTGAACCAGAGGCTAATGGTACCACTGAATCTGCAGCAGAAACCTAATCGGACGCTGAACCAGAGGCTAATGGTACCACCGAACTTGAAAAAACGTCTCAATCTGCGAGCAAATCATAGATGCCAGCAGAGAAACTCCAGGAAAACAGCGGGGTTCAAGCGAGAAACGCGAAGTGAAACAAAAACTGGGCTAGCTGAAACGTTGATTGAATTGTTGCGACGACATGCGATGCAGTTGTAAAGATGCTTAGAGGTGGCGGATTGTGTAAATTTATCACAATGGAAATGAGAAACATGAACAACCACAAAATTATGCCTAGTACACTGGAAGGTAGTATATTTATTACTTCAGGTCAGGGCAGGAAGAGATGAGCCACAGACGCCACATTCGGTGGATAAGATGCACTCAAGATTTTGTTACTTAGATTGTGTCATTCAGACCTAAATTGGAGAAAATAGGTTAATATTATAAGTATGAAGGAGTGACCAACCATCGGGTGGCAATTGAATCTGTGCATGTCGGTGAAACATGGCTGAGCCGATAAAACTATCCACAACTATACACATCCAGGATCAGCGTAAGAACTACCAATGCTACGATAGTGAAGGGAAATGTACACTAGAGCAATCAGAAAGCTCGTGGGAGAAGGGGGAGGGGTGAAAAATCCCTTTCATTTTCAATGATACGCAATCGTTGAACGTGAAATCTATCGCCCACATGGATGGACGTGGGTCGCAGCCAAGCTCTATCCATCAAGCTTGAAATCAAAGGTTTATGCGAGAAAAGACAGCTTGTAATAACAATCTCCTGAAAGCTACCAAACATCCATGTCTTCGAACTCGATCTCATTCGTAGACTAGGGTAAAGGCTCTTGTACATTTCCAAGTCTGTTGAGGTGTAAGTAAGCATCAGTACCTGCGAGAAAATCGGCACCATTTTCCATTAAACTTGCTAAATTGCAATGGAGATCACACATACAAACTACACGTCAAGTCTACTTAAATGTAAAGAACAACAATGTAGGTTGATTAAACGGTTGAGACAAATTGAACGGGAGTCAACACTCGTATTGATACTTCCCACACAAGGAAGAATAATGGTAGGAGCCTCTAAAGACAAGTGTTTAGTGGAGGCGGGAAAACTAACCATATCCTTCCATGGAAATCACTTGAAGATCGCCTCCAAAATAACGCGCATACAGTCGGCTGATGGGTAAACCATAACCATATCCGGCCATAACGTTAGGCAACTCATGATCTTGCCTACCAAGTACCACGGGATTCTTCGCTGTACTGTACAAATACGTCCAGATTTTTGGTAGCCCACTCCTGGGAATGCCACCTCCTTCATCCGAAATCTGTCACAATTCAAATCCAACAGTCAAAACATGTCCTGCGATACACGTTCATTTTTTTGGTAACGAATGTAAATACAGCTTCAACAAAGTTTCCCGAAATACGGCGATAAACTTTCATGTTTTAACAACAGGTGCAGAGGTCTGTCGATATTCGAAATTTATAAAGCAAGACTCGCAAGCTACAACAGAGAAATAATTTGTCGCTAGTGCCTTCAAAAGCTCAAGATCTACACGTATTCGCCATAATAAATTCAAGAGCTGCACCTTAATTGTAACGTCTTCAATACCATCAGCTACTACAACACGAATCGGAGGACACTCGTGATCGGCATCTTGGAAACGCTCTTGAACAGCACGTAGAGAGTTTTTTATCAACTCAAACAGCATTTGGTGAAGGTGCGTAGGCACGTAACTACAAAACCACGAGTCATAACTTCACGTCAGCTTGTGCGAGGTTCTCATGTATACTTCTCAGAACCAATATCATATAGACGACATAGAAAGCTGTTATTCTATATGACCCATCTATATGATTACTTAGCCAATGACCAGGTCAATGGAGGTTGGGAGCATTGATCATAGATCATCCCTCTTTTCGTAGTCTGCCTATAAGAAGATTGGAGGGCAATAAAGACTTGAGAGCTAAATTTAGATGAGCATACTCCGACAACTCGGAAGAATCCTCTTTCCGGTCCCAAAAAAATAATAAAGAGAATGCTGGGTTAAACAATACTTACGGAAATACAAAATGTGGATCTCCGTAGACATGTACTTCAGGTGCACTCCCATATGTACGCATACATGCAGATCGAGCATCATCTATAGCATTTTGGGCAACTTCTACAGGAGAAACCTTTGTGCAAATAAGTCCGATCTGGTTAGGAGAGGGAGGAGAATTGTGCAATGCAACATGCTGCCCTGTAATAAACAATGGAAAAAGTTTAAAAGCATAGAATAATTGATTTTTCCCAGATCAATACTGGACAGTTCATATAACAAATCGAGAGTCCTCGTAGCTAATTGCAGGTGTATCAACATACTCTAGCAGGAACCATTTGATCGCCATTGAGTGTTCGATTGCAAGAATCATACGCGAAGTGGACAGGTATCACCGTATCATTTACATTTCTAATTTAAAAAACTGAAGCAAATATGGCACAACCGAAAAGAAAATATCTTACCAATGAGCATTCGGATACCAATTCGTGACAAGTAAAATCGGTCAAGGAACTGATGGATTTCAGGAATCTCGTTTAGGCCGACATTCCGACCCAAATCTTCCTTCAGTTGCTGAATCCCCATCGCCATAGTTGGCATAACATCATTATGCCGCATTTTAACCCTCGTTATAAGGTTGGTAAATCTTGCCACGTCTCCCACATTTTGAATTTCCGGGAAACTTCGAAGGTCCGTAAAAGAATCCACGTACCAATCACGAACCTGCAGAAAATTCCAGCGCATAGATAAGACTTCATTCTGTTCAAGAGCAAAGATTGGTGTGCTGGTAATTCCGCTTCAAGTTCCTAACCTTGTTCTATCCGCTACTAAATTAAGACATGATCATGATGCTTCCAACTAAAAAAACAAGATTAGCGAGCTAAGAAAAAAAAATCATTGGCAAAAAGAAGAATACTACTCAGTATCGTACGAACACAGAAAATAAATCTCAGCGGCAAAAATGATACTTTCTCTGATCAGGGCAACCTAAACATTAGGTCATGCTTCAAAACAAGCGACAGAACGAGATGTCCATAACAGTACTGTGGTGCCTGATCAGAACAAAAAGTTAAAACAAATCCCATAATTAAGAAGGCTAGCTACATCATCTGTATTCAACTGCTGATCTCGTCATTTACGGACAAGAAAAACATTCAAAATCAAGAATTATTATCGACACTACTAAATTAAAACTAGGAAACAATTCACACTAGTTTGAATACTCAAAAGTCGAGGAAACTTACTTTCAAGACAGGGGCTTTGGAAGAAAGTCCATGAGGTAGGTTCTCAAGCTCGGCCACTCGATGCGCTAAGCGAACAGGAAGCTCATTGTGCAGAAATTGTGACGACAATAATAGGTTCCTCTTCGACGGATAGGAGCCGAAATCCATCATGTACTTGAGACTCACCCCTGTTTGTTTCATAAAGCTGTATCTGTAGATGTCCTCTAAAACATCTCTAGTAACAGTATCCGCCAATCTCCGCACAGCAGCTCTAGCCGCCATGGAGAATAGTTTGAACTATTGAGGCGGACGGACAACTACAAGCTTGTGCGTTCAGCTTAGATAATCAGATTGAGAAAAGAATTGTGACTCCGACCACAAGGGAAAAGTTGATTAAAGGCCACAATTTTTTTGGCCTTCGCGCCGCTCTGGGTGTTCATACTACACAAGCTAAAGGTGAACACAAGAAACCTAAGAAGAATTTGAAAACAAAAGTATGCGATTCCGTAACAGTTACAAAGAATGTAACTACAAATGTCATGTATGAGACGCTATGAAAATTGAGACGCGACGGTCGTGGCTACGATGTTCGATGTGAGAAGCTCCGAAATCCCTCCAATAGTTCCGTAGAGCAATATGATGAAGACGGTCCTAACAAATATGAACTGCACCTCCACAATCGTCTCATCCTTGACTTCCAAAATGGAGCTACAAGCCGCTGTGTCCTGACTGCAAACACGAGGTGATGATCATTTCCTGAAACAATAATCCGTATGAAGATAACGGAGCTAATAGCGCGAATAATCTCCGCCAACTCTCTCACTCTCTCTGGCTGGAGAATTACAACATCGAACACAAAGTAACTTGATTACCAGCCAACGAGCTAATCACTGACCAATTCTGGCTGTAGCATTCTAAATAGCGCTATCATAGTGGACAAGTGCTTCTCCTCCACACAATCAAAAACAGCCAAACAAGACGACTCTGACAGAGCACAGAACAAGTACTATTACTACTAATAAAAGTCCTCCCCGGCCTACTATAAATTCGGTCTCAAGAATACTCAACGCTCACAGCATACAGAAAAAAAAAAAAAAAAAAAAAAAAAAAAAAAAAAATCAAGTGAGGCACGCCTACAACTGCACTAAATTAGGTTCCACACTCTTGGAGCCGCCAAGTTCCACCTCGCCTACATTCTTTCCTCGTCCCCTGCGCATGTGCACAATCGTGTTCCGCTCGTATCGCTCCCCTTTTCTACCACTCCTCCCCCACTCTCGTTCTCTACATCAGCCAATGTTACCTCCCTCCACGAACGCAACTATCCTGATTCAATGGCCAGCATGCGCTGATCAAATCCTAACTCACTCCATGACTTGCAAAGGTACTAACCATATCCAAGCACCGAGGCTCGCCGTATGTGCAGCGACTCCTTCCTTTCACCGCGATTTCCCGTCGCTAAACTACAGAGACGCAAATCCGCTGCATCGAAGCAGTAGAAGTCCGCCTTCACGCAGAAAATTTCCTTCCGCAACAGGCAGCGCAACAGGATACGAGAAAAATGGACGGGGTAAGCGAGGCCAAAATGCGCAGGTCGACGACAGGGAGTGAGTGATGGCGCCGCAGAGTCGTGCTCCTCAATGAGGACGAAGCAAAGGGACGGGCGATGGCGGAGATGTGTAAGCAACGCGAACAACTCGGCTTCGCTGACGGTGCGTCTACGTCCATCAACGAGCTCGGGGATCACGCCATCGTTGGCGGCTATCCACGAACTGTCGGTCCCAATCTGTCCCTTTCTCCGTCGTGTCCAACGAACGAGACCGCGGCGGACTAACGAATCGTTCGTGGAGCCTGGACGTCTAGTTTGGACGTTAACTCCCACTTTTCGTTGTTTTCCGAATGAACCCTCTCGTCCGTTCAGTGGGTTTGTGTGTCAATGCACCAAGTGAAGTCTTTCACTTCACGTACTCAAACTTTGTCTTTGTATCGATATATTCAGCTATATATGCATAGTAATTTAATTGATTTATCTCACTTGAAAAAATAATTTAGGAAAAAAATATTACTAATAATAATGCGTGATTCATTTGGTCCTTCAATATCCAAATCACCCACCACTGAAAGGAATACATGGAAAGATCCTTCCATTCAAAACTACTACTTGGTGGGTGGCTCAGACTTATTCATGGTTTTTGAAACCTTTGATCCATGCTTAACATACTCATCTTAAATTGTGTGTGAAGTTTGGGCACATCATGAAAGGAACCCTTGTGGCCCCATTTCTGCAGTTGTCCTAAAGCATGGAAGATTTCATTCAAGTGGGTAGCAAGGAAGAAGACAAACAACTTTTTTAGACCCACATGGACCTCTTCACACCATGTATCCAAGTCAAAGTGGGACCATGCTTTGATAATATATATATATATATATATATATATTAAACTGAGGATTTATTTGCTATTGTGTGGTTCATCAAGCATTCCCATTGCATAAAGTGTTGCGTGAGGGGTTTTCTTCACACGATGGGCTACAATCTCAAGTGCATTACAGGTGGATAAGGTTGACATACAATTCATTTTAAAATATATAAAAATTATGAGGTATGTGCACACATTCTTCTCAGTAGACAGGATTTTTTTAAAGAGAAAATGCATGTTGGGCATAGGACTGTTACAGATTTTAGTTGTTATGGCTTACCAAAGTGTAACTTTGAATAAATTACATGGTTTGGGAGAGTATACCATAATACTTGAATTTTGAATGTTTGGTTGTGCTTTGTGGTTGAAGATTACACTACTATGCACTATTTATAAATCCACAAGATATGTTCTCCATTTGTATCCATCAAAAAATGTACTCTAGTGTATGAAATATGGATTTTGTAAACAGCTGCTTGCCTCCACAAAAGTGTTGATTAATATGTGCTCATTATGTGTATCATAGTTGATAATAATAATAATAATAATAATCAAATGTGTGCATATGACATGTTGCATGAAAGAAAGACTGGGATATGGGATCTCAGTAGAATTTCATTCTTAAGTATATATATCGTTTATTTTGACAATAAAAGATGTGCCATTTTAAAACACACAAGTAGGAATCAAAACATTGGCAATAAAAAGAGTCTCTAAAGCAATGTTCAGTACATATTTCTTCCTTGTGGTATTTTTGTAATTTGAGGTATTCAAACCTAGTTATTTATTTCTTAAAAGTAGTTTGTTACAAGAGATAACAAAAAAAATATTAGTTTCCTGATAGTTATACCTTAAACCACATCTGAAAATTCTAAGCATGTTGTACATGTAATCTTTGTTCCTGCCATCATAATCCTTTTGCCCCCCCCCCCTGGACCTTTGCATACATTTTTAGTTAATGACCTACAGTTACTGTAACTGACTATTTAAATTATTCTCTGAAAGAGTTATTCATACACTGGTTATGAATAATTAACATACAAACAAACTTAATAACTTAATATATACATACAACTCATTGCTTTTATAAAACAGGTATGGCTCCATTTATGGATTTTAAACCAATATAATAAATGGTTGTAATTTGATGGCAAATTTTATTGTCCAATGTGCCAACACAACAGTCAATTGAAGAAAATAAATTCCTTTCACCTCTAAATATGTTACAGTTAATTACTGATGAAAGAGAATCTATGTGAATTTGATTCATATGGATTTTTTTTGAATAAACACCCAAGAAATATAGTTCTCAACAATGTTACAAAAGTGAATATATATATATATATATATATATATATATATATTAAAATGTTACTATAGCAGTTAGTATTTTTCTCTCTAGTTTACACACACCAATTGATTTACTTGTTTATACAATCATTTGCTTGAAACTGCTTTGATCAGTTTTCTCTACCACTACCGCCCATTAGAAAAAACACAACATTATTTTATGCAAACTACATGTTTAGTTTACCATGCAGATTCTACATACAAGTCCTAAATTCCAAGTTCTTAATATTAATTTTAAAATATAACTCATAAATTCTAAGTGTATGTATACATTTGCAAGTGTTGCAAGTGTTACTATTTGTTTTGTTTGATTATATAGTATATATATATATATATATATATATATATATAAATAATTCGTGTCATTGGGCACAAAAAAGGTGGCCAAGAGCAAATATTTGTTAGTTTATTTATTTGTTGGGAGCTTCCAAACTCCATGCCTTAGTGATCTTGTAGTGCTACTCTTTGCAATCTACGGCAAGAGCATGTAGATTTTGATCTCAAATTCATCAAAAGTTAAGGTATTGCTTTACTTTTGTTTCACTTTTGATAAAAACAATGTGATATGCAACCAATCAAAGATGGATTTTTGTCTCCTCTTGTTTATCATGTTGATTTATCTCCTCTAGTTTATATATATACATATATAATTGTGGCTTTCACATATCTACACTCATCAAGCCATTTATCATTTATTAATTTTCATTTCCATTTCTACACCACACTCTTGTTCCTCTCTCATTTTGCCCCTATCTTTCCACCTTTGCTAGTTATTCATTCAAATTAAGCCACAATATTTTGTTTTTTTGTTTTGTTTTGTTTTCTTTCTTTGTAGAAAGCATCACTAAACACGAAGAAAGAATAGAAATACAAAAATATCAAGCCAGAATAGCATACAATTCTCCTGAATTTCGTCTTCATAAATATCATTCCAACGAAAACCAACAAACATGAATGTTCTTTCAACAAAAGTAAAAGACAAAAGTAAAGCAAAACGAAAAAAGACAAAAAGGAAAAGTTCCCGTGTCGTAGACTCTTGGGCGGTGTCGGCACGCCGCTTGCTCTCGCGCGGCGTCGTTGGCCGTTGGCTCCAGCACCGCCTCCGATCCCCGGCGTTGCCGTTGCATCCACATCTATCTCGAACCCTCCTTCAATGGACTTCATCGTCCCCCCCCTCCCCCTTTCGGTTGCGGAATTGCGTGCCCCTGTCCAGAATCAGACCTCACAAATCGTCCTCTCCAATGATTGCGGTGCTGCGTCGCTGTGTGTGCGTGTTTCGATTGCGTAGCGCCTTCTGCCCTCCTTTACTGTCTCGATGTCATGGCACGCCGAAGTGCCCGATCGCACTGTAGATGATCGCCCGTGAGTCAGTTGCCGCCATCCGACCGTTGGGTTTCTTGAGAAGCCCATCGATGACGCGAACTGCAGTTGCTGGCGTTGGAAAGACTCTGGCGTTTGCTAGGAACTCAAGCAGGAGTGAGCGGCTTGGTTTTGGTTCATGCCTTGTGTGTTTGAGTGGACTCTCACTCGGCAGAATTTTCCAACGTTCGTTGGTTTGCTTTCCTTTACGTGCTGCTTCGACCCACTGTAAGCCTGTCGGTGTGTTCACGGCGGTGCTCCGAGGAAACTTGATCAGTCACTAAATCAGCTTCTCATGGCTGAATCTGTCGGACACAAGTTGAAAACCATTCACTTGATGAAGTCTTATTTATTTGAATGCCGTTAATGAAGCAAACTGCACAGACTGTCAACGGAGAGGATTGTGCGTTCGACTGGAGCCCGAGCAGCAGCAGTCGCAGCAGCGAGAGTCATGGATTAGTTCAGGAAGTGAGGAATGATTTGGACGATCAGTAGAACCAGAGCTGCTTTGAGTTCACGATCTAATTCAATCCGAACCAAGCTTCCTGATTCTAGAGGTCTGGATGTAGCACAGCTGCGGGATCTACTGATTGAAGGCAGCATGGCTCCCCGGTATTACCTTGTGGAATTGGTCCCTATTTACGTTCTTAATGTTTGAGGACAGCAATTTTCTGTTGAGTTCAGGTAGATAAATATATACGTACATATTTATATATATACAACTTTGAAAACGTGAACAGTGTTTCTGTTTTTGATTGTTTTTGTTTTTGTTTGTTTGTCTTTCTTTTTTTTCTTTTTTTCTTTTTAGTTTTTAGTTCTTACTTTTTTTTCTCATTCTTAAAGAATAATTCATAAACACTGAAACTGAACTCAGAGTTTAGAAAGTCTGTCAAATCGCTCAAAGTTAACAATATAGGCAAAGTTTACCTTCTTCAAAACAAATTCAAATTTTAGATTAATCTATTGCTTGAATCCAACATTTTTCTCATCCATCTAACTCTAAAATGTTATTGTTAGTGTGTTTATGTATGCACAACATTTACAAATTTGCTTTAACTATACTTGTGAAACTTATTTTTTTTAATGAAGCGTAATCAGTATGATTAAGTAATAAGTAATATATATATATATATATATATATATATATATATCCAAAAAAATCAGCATATTAATCAGTCAAAATAATTGTTAGAGTAAATGCCGAAAAAGGTAATTTTAACAGAATTTTAGATTAAATTTGACACATGTTTTAAATTTATATTCATTTTCTAAAGGGTGTTTGTTTTTTGCTGAATTAATAACTATGTTTGATACATTAATCATTTATACTTCATTTTTATACTCAATGTATTTTTCAGTTTGAAACTCCTACATCAAAACTTCAAAAGATAGAAATCCTTTCTCATTCACTTTAATCCCGTAATTGCAACATCTTATGTCTTGTTTGTATTTATAAACTTTGCATGCAAGATATGTACTTTGATTTTGTTTTTTTTGTAAAGTAGTTTACATATCCAAATAGAAAAATTATTATTATAGTTATCAGCATTAAATCTAAATTTGAATTTCAACTTTTAGTATTTCTGTTGACACTAGCAAGTCTAAAAATCATGCATGTCATGCACATTCTTATGACATTTACTAGTTAAATGATCATTAAATCTCAAAAGCTTCAAACAACCAGTATTTTTTTTCAAAATTACTACGTATGTTAATTCTGTGCTTCAATTTAATAATTAAAAATAACCTCTCAGTACCAGTGTAATAATAATAATTAACATTCTAATTGACACAAGTATTGAAATATTGGTATATCATTTTATCATTAGTTTTTCTCTTTGTATAACTAGTCCAACATATTTTGATATTTTTGTAAAATATTCTCACCACATTAATGTTTAAATTAGAATAATTTTCAATTCTGCTTACATCACAATGTTTTTGAAGCAACTGATTAAGATTATATTAATTTCTCTCTTTGGAAGATACTCGCATATTGATATTGTATTTATATTCATTTGCACATGATATTTTTATATTCGAAAGTAGATAAGTGAATTCAGTCTTAAATGTATTGAGTTTTACTTTTCAATATTTCACAAATTAAGTCAAATTTTAATTCATTGCATTATAATGAAAAATCAACGGTAAAATCTATTTAACTATTTATTAGGAATCTTATATATATGTATTCGAATTTAATTTACATGTACTTGTTATTTTTCTTTCTCATGTCAAAGTATACTCATCCGTGGTGGATGAGAATTAAAAAAAACGAACAATTAAATGGATCTCATAAATAAAATAAAATAAAACAAACTAAAGTAACAACGGCTATAATTAATTGGCGTCATTAATCATTTATAATAATAATAATAATAATAAACTACACTGTACTGACTAAACATATCATTTAAAATATTCGACCACCATTTTGAGACTGTTGTTTAATACAGTTGCCACAGAGCCCTTTAAATAAGTCATTCATATAAAATTTGTGTGAGTCCGTTGCCTTTGGTTAATCATGAAAAGTGAAAAAACACAGGAAAAAATGCTTGTGGAACAAATTGCCAACATATGTGTTGGTATTTAGAAATGTTTATTGAAGAAAGGTCCTCTGATTGTAAAATGAATACTCAGTTTTAAAACTTGCATCAACTACACTTTCTAAGAATTTTGAGAGACCTTGGATGTGCTTTGTTTCTTTTGTCTTCTGCTTTATATCAAAATTTAATATTGAATGAAAAGAAGATTTAGAGACTACCTGAGATTTCTATGTCACAAGAATTGACATGGGTGTCAAACTTTCAAATACTTTGAGTAATTTCTCTATTCATTTATATTTCAATTAGTCAACTGGATAAACAACCTTTATTCATACATGCTACATAAATCCACCACTCAACACCCATCACTATCATTTCTACGTAATACATTTCTTGCTTCATTCACACAAATCATATTTACTTTTCATCATGTTTGAACAAATCAGATCGTAAATCTGCATACATTCACAATATTTTGAATGTTTTTATTCTCTTCTCTTAAATACTAGGTCTGGGAAGGGAGTAGATTGTAGTTATTACTGGAACCATATTACACTTCTGTACAACAAAAAGTAGAATAACAACAAAGAAAAAAGAAACAATAACAACCCTTAAAAAGTATTATTGAAAATATACGTACATTGTATGTGGATAACTTCATTATATAAACACCTACACTTGTATCCACTAATGATCATGGAGACCATATTTTGATTACTATCTAAATAATGCTATTTATTTATAATAATAATAAACCAGACCTAATCATCATTGTATTGTACATATATATATATATATATATATATACATGAAATAAACAACAAAAACATCATAACCTAGCAAAAGGTAATGATTAAGAGTGAATAGTTCTAGTTGTGATTATAGTTCTAATTATGATTGTAAATCTCTTGGAGATAGTACCTGAGAACAATAGAAATATTTCACATTTTCATTTTAATCATATATTGAAAAACATTCTTTATCAAGTTTGCAATTGGTTCCTCTAGAAATAGGAAACGCTTAAATCACCTTTCACGTCAAAAACTTCCTTCAAACATGAAAATTATATTTTCTCTCTTTCAGTATACTCTTCTAAATATATGTATCAAAATTTCTCTCTCTCTCTCTATATATATATATATGACATTGATCTGAGTTGCTTCACATTGTTTTGAAGATATGATTTTCTAGAGAAAGTTGATGTACAAAAGACTTATTTTGTGTTGTTCTTTACACTTGTATGATTGGTTAAATCATTCAGTAATTGGTATTGGCCATTTAATTGTTTGTGGGAATACTACAATTAGGTTGTCAGTCCAGTTTACAACTGTTTTTTCTAGTATATTCATGGATAACCATAGTCCACAATGCCATCAAATGTCAAATTGCACACACACATATATATATATACATATATATTATCATCTTGTTTGGAACAAGACTATTGAAGATTGACAATGTTTGCCAAAAACATTATAGAATGTGAAGAAGAATACACAGTTGAAGGGGATTATTGACTCAAGTAACCAAAACAATATATTGTTCACACTATTAAAAAAAACCATGTTTATGACATTAAACAATCTAATGGGTTTATCATAAATAAGTAAGTAATATTCTTAAACTTGAAAAAAAAAAAAAAAAAAAAAAAATCAATTAGCCGAAAAAAAAATCTATTGTATTTTTTTGATAAGTAATAATAATAAACATATGATGTTAAAAAAAACTATAAATAAAGTTATTGAAAAATAAAAAGTATATAATCCTAATATTATATATATATATATATATATTTATCCTACTATATTATCCTAATTAATATTACCCAAAAACATCCAATAATTATATGCGCATTCATGCAAGTGTGATGAGGAGCTGACGTGGACGAGCCACGTCAGCAGAAGGCCCCAGCAAGCAGAGAATCAGGGTTCTGAAGTTGTGTTGTGCGGGCTTCCTAGTTTGGCCGGAAAAGTTGGAACATTCATGTGCCACGTGGGTTTCTGGATCCACTCCGACTGATGACTAGGTCCCACCTTGCCAGCTTGGCACATTAACAACGCCATCTGGAGAAAGTGTCAGGGGACCTGGTCAAGTGGAATCTGTTGGTCCTGGTCAGTTTGTCGTTGAATGCTTTGTGTAGTTGAGCAGACCCCCAACCATCTTTCTCTTATTTTTCTTTATCTCCTTCATTCCTTTATCGCCTTCTTCAGCTCCGTTCCTTCTCTTTCTTTTTCTTTTTCTTGTCTTCCGTTCCCTATTTGCTTTCATCCTTTTCCATCTCAATCTTCCTTGTTTGGTATGGAGATCAAACAGGGTTAAAACAATTCACTGTCCGAATCCATGTGCAAGTGGGCTTTGCTTTCAGGTACTTTCTGTGGTGGAATCAGGTGGGTGTGATGTGGCAGTTCGTGCACCCATTACCGTCTCACAGCTCCCCCCTTGTTTCAATTTGCTGCACTAAATCAATGGGTTCTATTTATATTATGGTATAATCAATGAACGAAGTGGAATGTTCTATTCTAGGGTATATAGATATGTTGGAATTGAACAATTCATTTCGAAAACGAAAAAAATAAATAAATCAAAAAGAAAAGGAAAAGACTCCCCTTTTAACAGCTTCAGATGGTTCAGATGAATGCCTTGAGAACCTTTTTGGTCATTTGTGGTGTATAAACATGTCCCTCGAACCTATTCCTTTGACATCTATGCATTAAACATATCAATCGTTGGGTGAAATAGAGAGAATGCAACACAATATATTTTGCTACAATCTAAGTGTGTGTATTATATATTGAGTGTTTCTTACTTGCAATTGTTAGGCATTAAGAGAATTTGAAATTAATAAATAAAATTTGAATTGGTATTTTTTTGATTTCAATCAATAAACAATCACATATTAATAATATTTAATTGAGTGTTTCATGATATCATGATGTCATGGCAATTGGCATTGCATTGGTGATATATACAAACAAGTGTGTACTGATGTGATTTTATTACATGTAATCTACAATTGTTTGCAATATCCCAAGTCTTTGTGCAAAATCAAAACAAAAAAAAATACAAAAAAAACTGATTTATTTGTTGATAAATTGGGTGCATGTGAACAGCATGCTGATCACTCAAGCTTGCAAAGCTCATGAGCATGGAAGAGCTTTGGGGATCAACAAGCATTTCATGCTTATGTTATAGAAGCTGCCACCTTTATAATGTAAGAGCTGTGCAACCTGTGCCCTAAGCCCACCACACCCCCCCTTTTCTGTTATTAGATCCATTCTCAAGTCCAAAATACCTAAAATCTAAGGTCTCATGGAATCACTCACACACATGGTTTTAGGGTTCAATATGCCTAGGATTATAGAATAGAGTAGGCATGAATCTTGTGAAGCATTCTAGAATCTTCCAGAAGGAATGTGGCAGCCATTTCTAACTTCCAAGTTACATGACCTTCTAATGCTAACATTGATGTGGAAACTCATCAAGCTCAAAATAACTAATAAATACTTGGGAACCAAAACTTACTACTCCTTAATCTATTTGTTAACAAGGAATGAGTTCTGATTAGCCCCACACATGAGAATCATGTTACGAATGTGAATAAGAAATGAATGAGCATAAAAGAAAAAGAAGGAACTGTAAAGAAAAATACATTCCTCACCTGACAGCTGGCGAAAATGTGTCCAGCTAAGCCAAGCCAGGCCACGTCGCAACTAATGACGGCTGGTGGAGAGTAGGAGTGTGAACGGAACCCACTGAATCGCGGGGTGGGCGACATGGGACAGGGCAGCAGCAGGGGGGTCTCTCGCGTGGCGACTGGCGCGCTCCAAGGCCAGGGAACGCAAGTGACAGAGGGCTGCTGTTTCTAGAGGGATCTGAATCTTTCGATTTCGTTGCGTCGGAGTCGTGGCTTCCGACGATTGTGTGTTGCATCGCGTTAGCTGCAAATTATGCCAAACGATGGGGAGTAATTTCGTCCTTTTTGGTGCAGAATCGACCGAGATCTCACGAATTGAAGTCATTGCGCCGCAACGGAGGACATTAGTTTACGCTTGCGCGGATGAGTACAGTATTTCCTACATCGATGATGCGTTTGTTGATCGGAACCGTGCGGGCGACCAGCTGCTGCGAGAGTTTGTCTTTTACATTTCCTAATTTTGGCAGCTTGCTAGCTTGGTTGGAGGTTTTGCGGTTGTAGGCCGGTGCCGGCTAGGTTGTTTACTGGACAGCGGAATTGTGGCTTGAGTAAAGATTTTTATTGCGCACATGCACGGTTTGTGCTTGCGCTTGAAGGCTCCTGGGAGTTGACGTTGTTGCGTGCAGTCGGGTTGGAATCGATTTGCAAATTCGTCACCTGGGTTTGGTCCCACCAGGCGAGAATTTCACCAACTCTTGGGAGGTTTTGAATCTCGGTCGTAGTTATTCGCTGTGAATAGTACTGCCTTTGCGGTGCAGAGTTGGGTGTCGCTCGAGTCGAGATTTAGGTGTTTGTCTGTCCGTGCAATCTTTGTTTCCATCCGATCGCTGCACTTGCACCTGCCTACTCTCTGCGAAAAATTTAGGTGGGGTTTTTCTTTATCGGATCGAAGCTGGGAAGTTCTTTTTCCTCCTCTCCCGTCTTTCTGGCCTACTTCGAATTCGTGTTTTGCTTGAGTATTATAAGGCCCTTGTTCCTTTCTGCCCTGTGTCTGTCTGTCTGTCTCGTGGGGGAGATTTTGCAAGCTATGATGTGTCGTCGTCAGGCGGCCTCCAAGAACCTGGCTCTGGGTAACCGCACAGAGCGCTTCTGTTCGCGTTCTTACATTTGACGTCTGAATTTCAGTAGAGGGAGCGAGTCAATAGCCTCCATTTGAGATCTGGTGGTGAAGGTGCTGAATCAATCCAACTGCCAGTGAAGGTAAGCTGGGTTCGTACTTTGAGAGACTTGTGTGTGCACGAGGCTTTCCCTCCCACTCGTGTAGGATTCATCAAAGCTTTCCCTCCCGCGAACGTTTCTACTGAACTTCCAGTCTTCCATGTACAATCTGAGAGATAGAAGACCTTACACACCCTATCTGTAACTCCCGGTATTTGTGACAAGCGGGAGACCTAATGTGGAGTAACGCTTGATTAGTCGACTTCGAAGTGCACGGTTTTGAGCAGGGAGAGAGCTGGAACTATTGATTTTACCGATCTCCTGCTCCGTTGTATCTGGTTGCGCCGAGACTAGTTTAGCTTAATCAAGCTTGGCATTTCCTATGAATCCTTTGAAATCATTCGCCGAACCCATTTTTTTCATTTTCAAACGTTTGATTCGTTTATTGGGAAAGGATTGAAATTTTCGTAGCATCTAAATCTATGTTGGATTACTGCAGCTATCAGTAATCGTCCGATCACTGCAAAATTAATTCAGGAGAGTCAATCGATATCCTAACCGGGTGAAGTCCTTGTTTTCCTACGTAACATTCGTGTCCCGCGTGATCATTCTCTGGTCAACCGGTGTATAACATAATATTTAGTAGGCATTTACTCGCGTCGCACTCGGTGTCCTTTTCCACCATTGAAATGCCGCTGTGCATGTAATCTTCATTCATTTATATATATATATATATATATATATATATATTGGGTTCTGAACGGTTAGAAGGGTGTCGTCGTTCTCAATTCTAGCATTCTCAAATATTTATCCCATCAGCAGCAAGCCTCATGTGGGGCCGCAACCATCAACCGCACGTAGCTTTATTACAAGAGGTGAGGCACACAGCATAACTATATGGTAGTGTTTCCAAGTTCGTCATAGATGTATTCGATGGCAATTTATTTAACCTATCATAGCTTGTTTCACTGACCGATTTCTCGTGGAACCTAGATGGCAGATATGGAACCGGAGAATCGGGTTCCTTTGTTAGTCGGCCAACTCGAGGAAGCCCGCTCTTACCGCGAGGAAGAACTTAAGGGGGACGAAGTAGGTGTGGAAAGTCTCGACTATGAACCAATACATAGTTTGGTTTATGCACAGACGAAAAAAGGAAGCCAACAGCGCCACTTCTATGGGTACGATACTCTATCCATCCTGCATTTTGAATTCTACGATCCAAGGCATTGCTCAGTAATGTTCATGGATGTTAACTTCCGTCTCCCTCAGAATTCATAGACTTATTCCCGAAATTCTTAAGGTTAGAGTTTTGGCATTCAGGCATTGCTAAGTTGGTGGTCTACTCTTAAATACGCGGGAGATCCAGTGAGTTAAAGTTTATATGTCGATGTTTTCCTTTTTGCAGATATACTGGTCTTACATTTGCCAAGTGGCTCATCACAATTTTGATTGGTCTCCTTGTTGGTGAGTAGTGTTGGGGCTTGTTTACATTATGTCGCTAGCCAATCATCCTCAACTGCTGAAATTCAGTTCCTCAAAGATGTAGTGTTTCGAATTGACTCTTGTCTCATTTGCAGAAGTTTTCGATGAACGTTTTCAGTAGTAAATTTTGCATATGATTTGTGTGTTAACCTTGACCGAGAATGCGGATTTTACAGGCGTGGTTGCGTATATTGTGGAATCGTCACAAGAAGTCTTCATTATGAAGAAGGTGGGAACACCATTGCATTTTTTCCCTTCATTTTGAACTAATGCACTTATTCTTGTGATAAGAACTTTTCCTGTTCTGTGCGCCTTACTGAGACCAATAATATTGCGGTTTGGCTTTTAGGGAGCGACGTATATCCAATCTAACTTTGTGCTTTTGTGGAAGTTTAAGAGCACTACTTTTAGGTCATGCACTGGAAATTTCTTACTTGCTGAATTGTATCTGCAGAGGGACTGGACACAAGAGACGATTGATGAAGGGCTCAAACTACCATTTGTCTTCCTTGGATACGCTGCTTTTGGTATAGCTTTAGTTTTATTGTCCAGCTGCTTAGTTCTTCTTTGGGCTCCTGCAGCAGCGGGTGGAGGAGTAAGCAAAACGAAACTTTTATCTATTAAATTTGTATTTCTCCGCACTAGGATATAATCATTTGACTTCATTTCTTCTATTTGCTATCTCTGTCGACAAATCTGAGGATGCCTTCACTCCGTGCGGAGCACTTGAGACTTTGACAGTGAGACATTTCAAAGAGACCGTTTCTGTGATTGCAGGTTACGTTAGTTATGGCCTATCTAAATGGAATTGATATACCAAGTTTTTTCGAATTTCGGACTCTTGTTACCAAGGTACATTGTATTTCAGCAGGTTCTTTCCTGTAGCGTATGGCGGCATGCTTGCCGCATCCGTTTTGAAAATGTTGTGCGTTTCAAAAGATGAGTTTGGGAACGAAACCTTGATCTCTTTAGGACCGGAAGTTGCTCGTTTAATGAGCATGCCAATTTGTTTGTCTGATTGCAGATTGTTGGAACAATATGCACAATTTCTTCAGGGCTACCGGTCAGTCTCCGAATCCTTTTCCTTTGTTTTCTTCCATGTAATAAGTATCCAAAGTTAGTTTCTGAGGGTTTTGTTCGTCTACCCTTGGAGTTTTGAACTCTCTTTCCCACGATACAAGGATGGTATCAGTCTTGGGTTTGGTAGAAGATTTATGGCTTAGTTCTGCATTGGGATTTGCGATTACTTCTGCCTTTATTTTTAGTGTCTTTTCTATTCTCACGGGAAGGACCTCCTAGCTGGAATTTTTAGAGGTACATTTTTCTTTAGTTTCACGCAAGCCTTCTGAGTGTGAGATGTCTTGCTGTGGAGCAGATTGGGCAAGAAGGACCGATGGTGCATATTGGTGCTGCCATTGCTTCCTCGCTCACTTGGATGCATGGTCGCTTCCCAACCCATAGGAAAGATGGTTCTCGACGTTATGCGAGTCCCTACCTGCAGACCATCAGCAAATTCACGCAAAAAGCTTGGCCATTTGTAAGTTATGTTTCACAACTAGATTCTGATTATCTTTTGTTAGTTCACTTACGAATGGTGTTTGATTGATTTAAGTGCATGGGCCACTAGATCACTTGTTCCTTCGTTGTTTTATCTTTCATTTAGTTGTGCTACGTATGCGAGAAGTACATTAAATGATTATTGGACATATATATATTTTTTCATAGTATAGATTTATAAATGATCCCATTTGGAACTTCATAGTCTCTTATGTCGTGGTGTCTAAACTTCAGGACTTCCACAATGATAAAGATCGGAGAGAATTCATCTCAGCTGGTACAGCGGCAGGGTAAGCTGATTGAGTATACGCACGGAAATCATCACCTCACATTCCTGGAAACAGTCTCTTAGTTTACTGTCTGTATTATTTTGATTAAGTTGTGACTATGGGAGGTTGCGCCTGCAATTGTCTTGAGGAAGTTGCAACACAGATGTTTAAGTAATTTATAAGTGATCATTTATTGCCACAGATTGGCTGCTGCCTTTGGTGCCCCAATTGGTGGGGTACTGTTTTCTTTGGAAGAAGCCTCAAGCTTCTGGTCGAGAAAGGTACATTATTTTGAATTCACGCAACGTTGAAAAAGTTCAGCCAGTTTCTCATGGCGTATCTTCCTCAACATTATGTTCAATGCACTACTGCTGCCTTTCGGATTGCTCTTTTAATGGGTTTATTTTCCAGCTTGTCTTGTTTTATTTCCTACTTAGACTTGTTTGAAAATAGTGTCCCAAGGAGAGTGGGGCTGTTGAGCTTCTCAATCTACTCGTTTAATAACTTCACGAATATCACTTTTTGTCACAGGTGATGTGGCGATCACTTTTGTGTACAACAATGGCAACAATGATACTTGCATGGTTGAATGATAGGTGCGTTTTGGACCAGAAATTCTAAGTGAAAAGTTTTTGTCAGATTTCGTACCTTTGTTGGCATTACTACTCAAGCCCCACTGTCCTACTTACATTTACCAGGATGTTGGTGAGTGAGTGTATAGAGAATCTACTCATATCTATGTCTTCTGCTGTTTTCATGCTGTAGAAGACCTTGATCTGTATGTGCATTTTTTCTTTATGTAGATTCTCTTCCTACTCGTTATTGGATTACCTCCTCTTTGTTGGCCTGAGATGACTTCGAGAGACCTAAGATTTCACTTCTCCAATGAGTTGTTCTGAAGTCGTAAGTGTATATTGCAGGGACTTTACATTGTCATTACCGGGAGGTCTGGCGTTTCATGGTGCTTCGGTAGGAACTTTGCCTAATCTTCTCAGTTTGTTTCCATCTTGCATCCTAGTTTGTGTACTCACAGTAGGAGATTTCTAAGTTATGTTATTGATTTCAAGGCCAGTGTTATTGTATATAGTATACTTTTGATGGCAGATTCTGTTTGGTATGTAGGTCGAAGTTGATTTGAATGCTGTGCCGCTGATTATGGTGACCGCTGGATCATTGGGTGTGTTGGGTGCGTTGCTCAACACAACTCATGGTTGGTTATCTCCGCTCAGAGCTCCATCCAAACAAGGTCTTTTAAGGTTCGTTATTGCCATCTTCTTTATATCTTTTCTTAAGACAAATACAGGTTTTAGTCAATCAGAGTGGATTGAGTTCGATTCAATCACTGTTCAGAGACGAAAAGGCTGTTAAAAGCTTGAAATGAGCTTTTACTTTATAGGGCGTTGGTGTCCTATTTGTCGTAATCATTAAATTACTCGCGTTGTTGCTTTCGCAAATACTGGCGTTCAATTCCTTAATCGATTTCTGTAAGTGTAAAACAGACGGTGTTGGATGTTTGCAGGGTTTTGGAGGCGTGCTGCATTACATTCATTGCCGTGGGCACTATGTTCCTGTTGTCCCATTTCTTTGGTCGCTGCTTACCTATCCAGCACGGGTTAGTAATTTATTGGTGTTCGCTTTAACTTTCAGTTTCAGAATTGTTTCATGCATTTTATTCTTGTGCACTGCCTAACATCGAAATCTTTTATCATAGTTTTCCTACAATTAAATAGTTCTTGGTTTTTGTGTTGTCTGGTTGCTCATTCTTCGTCTGCATTGCTGTTGTGGGCAATTCTGATGATTCTCAAAAACCGAGTCCTTGGCCTCTTTCGAAAGTCACACTACAGCAATTTATTTGATCAATAATCTCTTTGGTCTTCTTGTAGGCAACAAGGGGAGGAGTATTGGTTTAGGTATACCTGTCCGAAAACTGATCCCAATACTGGGATTTCTTACTACAACGATCTTGCCACGTTGTATTTTGGGGTTCCTCACGAGGTGATGTCCTTACTGACATGCATGCCTTTGTGTCGGTAGAAACTTGTGGTGTTATAAAGGTACTCATTATTTTCTTGAAAACTTGCGGCACATTTCTGTTACTGACTGCCTGATCTCCATGTTTGGAACAGACTATCAAGCAGTTGTTCGCGATGGGATACGAACTTGACACTTATTTCAGTATGCGTAGCCTAATTCTACATTCGATGTCATTTTTTGTTCTTTTCAATCTTGCATATGGTGTTGCAACTCCAGGAGGCATTTTTATGCCATCCATCATGGTACGATTTGTAATACCTTTTGTTAAAAGGTCGCATTGCTTTCAGCTTTTAGGAATTTGAGAAGTGCAGTTTTCTGCTGTAGTGGAGAAAGTCATCAAATGTTCTCTAAAGTACTGCCAATATTCCTCTCCTTGTCCTCTGCTGAATGTAATATTTCCCCCGTAATTTTTGCAGGTCGGAGCCTCTTTTGGTGCATTTCTCGGAAGAGTGTTTCAGTTGTACTTTCCAGAGTAAGTAGCTAATGATATCAATATTTGAATGAATACCTGAATTTACCATTCAGCATTTAACTCAAATTTCTTGCAAGCAATGGAACTTCTGCAGATTCCTAAACCCTGAATCCTAAAACCTGATCTTTATGAGCATGCCAGCAAATGTTTTTACACTTTGTTATCAGAAACTGATGAATGGTCTCTCAGGGAGAATATTCAACCTGGTCTTCATGCGCTAGTTGGAGCCACAGCTATGCTTGGGGGTGTATTCCGATCATCCTTATCTTTGGTATAAATCTACTGCATTTTGTTTACTTTTATGAAACAGTTTTGAAACTGCATAATTTTACGTGTCTGTCAGCTTCTTTGAATTTCAAGTGACAAGCTCATTCTAAAAGTCTCTCATTTGAGTCCTGCTACCACTTTGTTCTTGGTAGAAGTTGTTACTGAATGCACTTATTTTTCTATCTGCAGGTGGTTATTATGATGGAGGGTACCGGCGGACTTCAATATCTTTTACCGGCTATTATTGCCATATATGTTGGCAATTGGGTGGCACATCATATTCACCATGAAGGTGCATATGAAGCTGATTTGGAACGTTTGGGTATGCTTTCACCACACTCACCCTGCATATTTTACTGTGAAATGCAATTACTGCTCTCTGCGTTTTGTGATAAATCACGTCCAACATTCGTTACGTTTTGATACTTAACTTGGACTTTAAAGTACTCATCTCCGTGGATCTCCCCTTTGTTTTGCCTGGGCGGTTTTGCTTACAGTGTCGTGATGATGTGTGCAGGAGATGTTCGTTTTCTGCAGAGTGAACCCCCACGACACCTCATCCCAGTGACAGCAGCTGAGATGATGGCACCCAATGTCATCACTTTAACAGAGGTAACACAGTGGTCGAAACTTTTCTTTCAGGGGGTGCATGTGCACAATTAACAGTTCCTGTTTTAGATTCATTATTTTCTGAATTTTACAATGCCAATAAGGTCGTCTTTTGTCCAGAATGCCGTCAGAATATCTGGTGTTTCTCTTTGATAAGCCGCTGAAACGATTGGAATGCTAGGAGTGTTTCTAGTTTTTTTCCCAGAATTCCTTATGTCGATGATATATCTCGCTTTCACAGATCATATCCGTTTCTGACGTTGTCAAGATTCTGAAGAACACAACACACAATGGATTCCCAGTCATTAGACACACAGAAGCTAATGATGATGGCCAGCTTGTTGGTTTGATATTGCGGCATCAACTTCTGCTTCTTCTGGAACAGCGGGCCTTGATTGAAGTGGACTCCGAGATTCTTCGTCTGCCACTTCCTGAGAGGTTTACTTCCCGCGACCCTAGAGTGACAAAAGAACATGTTTACTTGGAACATGCCATGCGTGTTTATCATCACTGCCATAATCCTCACCGACGGTACTTGTCCTCTCGTCCTGGAGCTGTGGACGAATTAGAACTGGATGACATATTGCAGGTATACTGGAAAAGTTAAATGTAGATTCCAATTTCCTGGCATAATGCGTATAGATTTCAATTTCTTGTTTGAATTGGGCGTGTGTTTCTCTGTTATGAATTGTGTAAGGGTATGCTTCTGAAGGTACGGAGAGTTGAACTTTGATTATATTCTGAATAAAAATCCGTGAGGCGTACAGGAACATCCAACGACCAATGGAGTGCATGAAGCTAGCAACGGAACTAATGATTCGAAAAATAAAGAAATACAAGAAAGTAGTGAATCCACGAAGCCTGAGCATCAAGTTTCTGTTCACAAAAGAGAACTGGCTCTAGATCTCCGATACTACATGAATCGTGCCCCTGTCACGGTAAAATTTTCTTTTTCTTTTTCTTTCATCTTCTTTGGGTCATGGAATTTTTGCTTGACCCTCGTTTGATAAACTCTCTGGTTTTGAGAGCCAATGATTGTTTTGGTTGTGCACAGGTTCGTGCTGAGTGTTCAGCACAGCGCGCATACATAATATTCCGAACTTTGGGCCTAAGACACTTGTGTGTCACAGACTCCAGCAATAGGTTTGCATCAGCTCATTATTCCTTCATGGTTCTTGAGATTTGGATTGCAAGCGAACGGATTTAACTTGAGCTTATTGACGAATTTAGCTTGAGCTTACTTTCCAATTTACTAAATATAATTATTTTCCATGTAGCATTCTACTGAAACCTGAACGTGGTTGTTGCCTCCTCAGCGTTATAGGTATGATTACAAGAAAAGATATAGCGCAGAGCGCTCATCATCAAGCAGAGCACTCCGTCTCCAAGATTGCATTGGAACGGCAGGAGTCAGATGGCAGCTCGTACTTCGGTGACCGAGCAACTAAAGACATACTATTTTCTCTTCCTTAAATTCTGACAGGTGTTCCTGCATTTCACCATCTTGGCTGAGGTAGGTGACACATATGAGTCCATCAAGGCTTTCCAAGAGTTGAAAGTTTATGAAATGTGTCATCTGCCTGGTGGTCTGTAAGCGCTCAAGGGGTGTTTTGGGTGGGAAAGATGAAATAGCTACGACGACATAATATTTCTCACCGCCTTATCGATAGCGGAACAGCTGCGGCAACAAAAGATATCTTCGATATTTGCCTGTGTGCCAAGTCAAGTGCACTGCTTTAGACCGTTCCAATGAGGTCTCTAAATTTTTGCTAGCTAGATTTGGTAAGCAAGTTGAATTACCATTGAGTTCGTGCACCATCAAGCCGAAATTTTAATATTGTAGATTCGTCAGTGTCCAATAATTTTTGGGGAATTTACTAATAGGGGGACGGTTATTTTTGCTTGCTGTACAGTAGCTTAGCAAAAGATTCGACACCTCTTTTTCAACCTTAACAGTCTTTTTTTTAGTTCCACAACTATATTTGATACATCATGTCTGCAAAAGAAACATTTTTAAGAGCTGCCAATTTCAAACTTGATATAGTTACTATTGTACAGAACCATCATACAAAAATGATGTGCAATTTCGTTTTTCACAAATGAATCACTATGAAGGAAAAGTTTTCTATAATGACCATAACTCTGTCATATTAAGAGCGACTTTTATCATCAGCAGTGGCTATTGTACATACTGTCAACAGATAAAGCCAGCAAAAAAAATCGTTCCCCTATTCGTGATTATTTTGATTTTGTTCCCCTATTTGTAAATACTTTCAGGTTTGTTCCTCTATTTGTGAATTCCCCATAATTTTTCTCGTTACTGCGCCACTTTTGACTGCTGACTTAAAACCTTATCTCAACCCAAAATTGGCTATAGCTGCCCGCCTTCATACCGTTGGTGAATGGTGCATTTAGTTTCGTTTCCTAAAACTTTTCTGCTCCCAGTCCTTCGTTTCTTTGTTGCACAACATTTTTCCACCAGTTGAAACCACCACTTCGTGTGAAAGAGAAACAGGCATGTACCAGAAGGGGTTGCGGATACCAAGTGCAGTGCTGTGCACAACTTTGGATTAAGTCACGTCAACGCAGAATCTGAAGCTGTTCATCAGCCACAGTTAATTCACCACCTTGAGCCCCTGTTAACCAAGCCAAATCAATGGCACTTCCATGGTTTACACAAAAAACATCAGAGCCAACATCAATCGACCATGTATGGACATGAAGTCGGCCGAAGCAGCATTTTCTTCACTTATATTGTAAATCCGAATCAGAAACGATGACTGGGTGGTGATAAGAAAATAAGAATCAGAACTACAGTTACATCTATCCTTCTACACCAACAACATTTGACCACCTACTTGTCGCAACATCGAAGCAGATTCCATTCCGTTGTGTTGTGCAGAACCTTGCTCGCTGGAGATTCCGGTTGATTCTTGCGGCCAATACGACAATTGCCACTGATTTGCATGCCCATGTGCTTTTTACTTTCACGAGGTTCGTGCGTGGACTAATCACTTGCACAGGAATAGATGGGGTGCATTCCCTAGAAAAACGTATCTTTCGGCTCTCGGTGTCGATCAGAAACGCAGGACCCACAAACATGTTAAGAAACGATTCTACCTGGAGAAGAGGACTTGGATTTTACTTTTATAACTGGATTTGTGGGTGTCAGAAGAGGCAAGCTTTGTGTAAGAAATTCATTATCCAGCAATGCAAGTGTACCAATAGGAATGTAGTGATTGATACACACAATGCTATGGCTACATTCTTATTGGCACACTTTGCTTCATTTGGGAGAGTGCAAAGGTGAGATTTTTCTCCTAGAATTTGCAACCTTGGGGGGAAATGGTCCACTTTGGACATACACAACTTATTTTGCACAAACAGTTTTTTTTTGGGATGTTCATTGTGGTTAGTGTATCTTGCTTGCAGAAAAAAGTGGTTGAGTTGTAAAGCAAAACAATCATAGTAGCAATGTGGTTGATCAAACAACAATTCAATTAGTAGGATACATTTCATTTACTATATTTTGGAAGAAGTGAACTAGAAAAGGTGAAGTTCAAAATGAGAGGAGTAATAAAGGAATTTAAATAAATAAAGGATTTAATAAATACTCCAAATTATTATTATTATTATTTTTAAATGATTAATTAGGACATTATAGGATGACTAAATTTGTTGATATGATTTTTTAAAAGTTTCTCTGAGTACTTCATTGCTATTGTACTTTATCAAGTTCAACGTCTATTGGCTTTGTTGTTGACGTCAAAATTTTGAAATATAAGTGTTTGGTTTTGTTCATTTGTTATAGTAGACTGTGTATTTTAAATGATTTAAGCCAATTATCAAGGATTATGGATTGTCAAGATTTTGGTTGTCCAATTGACCACTACAAGGCACTTGAGAGGATCTGCTTTAAGTCACATGATCTTTTGTCTAAATTGAGTATGAGTTTCATGATGTTACAATTCAATATTATTTTTTTTTTATTTCACTCATCCAGATTCAACTTGAAGTTGATATGTGACTTTGAAAAGAATTAATTCATTAAGTTTTAATTCGATAGTAGCTTTGATTGTTCTGCTAAGTTGCAATGACCATCACCATCTCCATGTTCTTGTGCAACTTCAACTTTTTTCTACCATCAGTGCTTCATCAATGGTTGGCAATAGCAGGGGCTATAACAATGGGGTCCAATTCAAGGCCCGCCTGGTGTAAACAAGTGCAACATGTGGTTTGAATCTTGGATTTATCTAAAATAGAAATGAACTTACACCTTATTAAGTTCAAGGGTAGATTGGATATTACAATATAACATCTTAATTTTACAATGAACAGACATTTAGAAATAGTATTAAAAGTATCACATAACTTAATAAATAAATAAGAACATTAAATCAAATCATTCAATTAATGATTTTATTGTTATTTTTTTTCAAATTATCTATTAAAAATACAATTCTATTTCATGGAACTTTCTTAAGTTGAATGTTTTTAGATAAGTAGAGGACTTTTGTGATGTTTCTTTTTATCATATAACTATAGCTATAAATGCATAAAATATTAAACTTACAGAGTTATTAATTAATTATTTATTATACACAATATGTGGTAATAAATGGACATATGAAGGTAGAAACCACATATTTGTATTTGCCAAACTATATACATACATCATATGAGAAATTTGTGAATTAGGTCAAATATTCTCTATTACATCTATACAATGTTACATGAATAGATGATGTTTTATATTTAAAAAAAATAAATATAAACACACAATTTTAAACATTTTTTTTTGTGACATTCCAAAGTATATTTATACTATTGAACATTGTATGCTAAATTACAAAAAATTATGCAAATCATTACCAAATATATTAATATTTGACACTCAAAAATTACAAATATGTATATTCTAAAAGCCAAAGTTCTATAGAATAGTAGAATATATGATCTTATTAAATATCTGTTGTTCATTTTAAATACTGAAATAAATATTTTAAATAAAAAATATAAATTTTTACTACTGCTTTTTAAATTCAAGTTTTAAAAGTTCACAATACAAAAGAATAAAATAACGCACATTTTTCCAGCATTATGTAATACATTATGTAATATTATTTCATGGATACCAGCTTTAATAATATTAAAACACATAAGTATTATTTTATTGATTTTTATAAAGTCTACAATATGAATAAATAATGAATTTCCAGATTATGCATTCTTAAATAAATCATCAACTATTGTCTTTATATTAAATAGAAATATTTGGACTTAATTGTTTTTGTTTGTTTTTTGTTTTTTTTGTTTGTTTTTTTGTCGAATTGCTGTTACAGTAGATCTTTATTAAGTTTTTTTTTTTTTTTTTTTTTTTTTTTTTTTCTTTTACAAAAAAAACTAAAATTGTATAATCAAAGAAGCCTCCCATAAATAATAGCACCATATATTAGATTATCAAATATCTTAGGTAGTGGAGACAAAACCCAACCTACCTACTTTTTCCACCCAAGTCTCTGAATAAATTAATGGCTTTGGTGAAAACTTTATTCACTGATTTAATCGAAATATATTTTTTCTTCTTTTTGCTGAAAAATCCTTATACTTTGCTACAAGGCATAGAATTAGGTTGTGTTCAAGTAATGCATAGGAGTTTTCAATTTTTATCCTTCGAATTTACCTTAACACTCTTTTTGTCTTTCCTTGGTGTAGCAAAGTCCATAAACTGTATGATTTCTTGTTCAAAACTAAACTTTTGTCTAAATTTTATTGAAAATAGAAATCACATAATCTAGTTGTTCCTATCCACACGAATTCCAAATTTTTTGATTTCAAAATGATTATATAAAAAAGTTATGGTTATAAAAATGTTGTGATTTTATCATGAGCAAAAAAAGTATTTTGGTCATGGAAGTTTGGATAATCTTTATCAATTTGAACAGAAAAGAAAAATCATACTGTGGGGTTATAAAAATTTATATATAGATAAATCTGTTACAAAAACATTCTTTCAAAAAATAAGAGAATCAAAGAGTGGACTAAGCTACTGTTTCACACTGCCAACATTACATGAACCACACACTAAGGCATGTACAAACTAAACAACAACAGATATTTTTACAAAACTAATTACAAGTTCTGTAGGTTAGTTTGTGTGGCACTACAACAATTCTTTTCATCACACGCAATTTCACACTATGTCTACTCTTTATTGCAGTTCACTTCTACAGAAAAAATAAGAAAAAAAATAAGAAAAAAAATAAAGGATCCAATTGGGCTCTTAGAAATGAACATGTAACATTACGTCCACCGCTGTGGAGCAAAGGCAAGAAGTTCCTTTGCATGAATTAGAATGTAAGATTGCGAAGAGATGAACAGGAAAAGCAGCTACTTCTTTGCTGAGGTGCTTTCATGAGTCTGCTGCCCAACAAAGATCTGCATCAACACACACTGTGGGTGTCACTCTGAACGTCATACCTAGAGGTGTTGTAATTACTGTCGTGGAGTAGCTCGTCAAGCTCCGAAGAGAATCTGTTTTTATAGCATTACTCTCCCCGATTATAACGGTTAGAAGAGTTTGAATATGACTGGGCAAATTCAATTTCGAAGAAAGCAGTCTGACCACTACCAACCACATTGATGCGAACACATCCCTTTAAGGCGTGGAAGCATGCGATGCAAGTGTTGCACCTCTGGCCTTACCGACCAAGCATCTCACGACCTTAAATTCCCCGGTGCTGAGAATGGGACGTAATGTCTGCCATCCACTACTTCAAGAAGAGAGTTTTTGTCACGTAGTTTGTCACCAGCTTTCGGCCAGCAGTGCCCTTTCGGTTCACATCTTCACGGAGCTGATTCGTGAGAGGAGCGAGGAATTGATTTCTCGAGTGTTGCTCTAGAAATCAATGAGAAGGTTGCAGGGCCAAATCACTACAGCAGTGGATTTGCTCTATCACGAGGTGTATCACTCGTCAGCGGCACGCACATCCACCGTTGAAGTGCAGATATCACTCACCCGCATCACAGAGAAGGTGTTGGCCATTCTAATGCAGCACCTGGGTCCAAGATCATTGCCATCAGGCATGCTAGCAGCATGGTTTGTGCTTTCTAGATCACTGTCAAGAGTTGACAGCGAACATGTTCAACGAATTCTCGAATACTGTGACGGAATGAGAGCAAATCGAGGAAACTCCTCATCTTATACAACTAGCTGGAATCCTCATTTTACATCGCTAATCACAGAGATTCTCACTTTCTGCACACAGTTCGCAACCTTCGACACTCTTTGATATCCGCATACACGGTGACTCCCAGCCACTCTAGATTGTGCTCCACTTGGGTGCAGTTCAAGTTCGGTGTATCATGGATCAAGAGTTTGAGTAGATCCAAAAAATTCAGCATGTTTACTTGATTTAGTAATCTACAATTCAAGGTTGTGTGATTTGTCTCAATGGGTGAGAGTAGTCTAAGGAAAGTCCAAGTGAAGGTTTATTAATCAATATAATATGGAATTAAACCATCTACACATGGAATTCAAGATGTTAAGACCAACTTGTGTATCCTTTGCAATCAAGACAGCCTCATTGTTACATGCTTTCTAACCAAAATGTAGAATTATTTATTTTAGGAAGGATTTTGTCATAAACTAATCATCTATAGATGAAAATTTATTCTATGATATAAAATCATTATATATGATTATAATATATTACATATATTATATATATAATAAATATCAAAAAAATATATAATATATTTATATTATATTATATTATATCATTATGTATGATTATATTGATTATATGATATATTCATTCATAGTATAGAGGTTGTTTTTTACAACCTATAATGCTATAGTGCAATAAAATCTAAGATTAATTACAGAGGACTCACAAGAATGCTATATAACAAAGTTAGAAATAACTCAATTGCTTTGGTTCATCAAGTTTATTCAATCTTTATCTTTCTTCTAGTATAAATAAGTTCCAAAGTTTTGTTGTCCACATCTAAAAGTGTCAAAATGTGTTTTGTGTGATATTCTTTGTTAAATATTAAAAATTTATATTCTTCTATAATTTTAGAATTTTAAGATATTCAAAATATTTATTCTTATTATTATTGTTTTATTTTTATTTGAATTATTTGTACAAAAAAGAATATTTTAGATAATTATGAAAGATTAGATTAAATTACATAACTCTAATTGTATTAAAAAAATAAATATTTTAATTCATGATTATGGCCTTGAATTTTATTTATATGTTTATATTTATTTTTTATTTTTTAAAAAATAAATAATAAAATTATAATAAATAAAATATTAAAGTAGAATAAAAATAAAACTTGAATTAAAATTTGGTGCATTTTATAGGAAATATCTATTGATTTGTTTGTTAGAAGAAATTATGCATTTTGTGTTTTGATTTTCTTCTAAAATTCTTCTATTTGAACTTTGCTACAACATCCACTATTAATTAGAGAATTGATTAGATTGTGCTTTGACTCCTTCTTTTAACCTTGCATCACTATTTACGTATGTTTTTTCTAAACTAGAACCTTTGCATTACACTTTTATTTTTTTTAAGACATAAAACTTCGAAATGCATGCTTATGAGAAATTATAAAATAAAAAACAGGATAGAAATAATACACAATACTTATTTTCTGCTACAAATATTATTAATACTTGCAATGGAACATACAATACTACAAAAAAGAATATTAAATATTTGGCATGTACTACAAATGGTTGGCATGTTGGATGTTTGGCATTTAGTACAAGCCATGCCACATCCGAAATCTACTAACCTTTTACAAATGATGAACCATGAAATGATGAGCAATTCAACAATAGAGGCCTAGTTCATAGCATAAATAATGTGATGCTTTGGAGTGTTGTGAAGATCCTAAAAGATACAGATAAACGTTGTTGGATAGTCATGGAGCTATGGATATGGAATATTCCCATCCAATTGAAGCACTACAAAGGCTGAGGTCTGACTACCGACATTTACAAATACCAGGCTCATAGCGTCAACGATGACTGCAGAAAGTAATGCAACATTTGTGCAGAAAAATGACACTTTCACATCTTGCCAATCACTTATCACATCGAAAGCATGCATTTCGAAGTTGGGTGGTGGACAAATCCACCCGCTGTGTTTTTTTTCCCACAAGAGATTGCACTCCGACATATCCAACGTGCGTGACACTGCTTGCACAGCAGATTTGCATCCGCCGAGAACAGGAATCCAGACCTAGTACCTTGACCTCACCTTCTTTCATAACCATACCTACTAAATCCAACTATACTAGCCTTTCGTTGCGTGCTACGACGATCTCGGAGCATCGCATGTTTTTCTAGAATACACATTCCATCGTTCTTGCGCAGGAGTTGATTCTCACAAGACTGCTAATGAAACTGCGGCTGCAGGATTCGCCTCGGGCACCTTGTCCGGAGTACTTCGGTATACTTGCCAGTGATACCCTTCCATCTGCCAAACTATCCAAGTGGCCTAGAAGGGTATGTATACTCCTCTCGGATCCGGAGCTGTCGTTCGGAACTTACGACCAAACTGTATGGCGCTGAAGGCACCAGCGTAGCTAAAAAGCTCAAACCTCAGGTGTGATTACATTCTAGATCGATGTAAGCAGCTTCCCAAGGTATGTTGCTATCTGTACAATTGCCTACTTAGGAACTAATCGCAGAAGTCGCCGTTGTCTGCAAAGAGTGGATAACTTGTGGACACCGACTAGTGATCGCAATGACCTCGTAATTGAGCTTGTGTTAGCTTCATGTTCTGTTGGTCCACAGTGCCGCTTCAGATACCATTACAAGGTTGCGCGTCCACCGTGGTTCGCTGAATGACTTTCACAAATGTATAATAAAACAGGGAGCACCATGTTGCATACCCATCTGGTAACGCTTCAACAGAATGAAGTATTATCCTCTTGCTGGACAGGTTATCAACAGCGCAGCCGACAACATTGCAGCTCCACCCACAAAGCCGAAGGGGGATAAACCAGAAAATCGTAAATTTAGAAAATGATCCTTCGATCACCAAATCCTTCATCGTGTGAGCTAGCTGCCTCTATAATCAACTCAAGAATCTTCGACTTCTCCTTGGAATGACTAGTAACTTGCCCAACTCGTTCCTCTCTCACAATTCGCCTGGCCTGCAATTACTAACTCATCTGTGTGTAAGATGATAACTCTTCAACCAGCCTAAAACGATAGATCAGAACCATCAGCAGGTGCACACGATTGTGAACAATGAAGCCTTGTCCATGCAGTGGGTGGTTCCTTTGTACCTCTCCAGGTGATGACCGCTTAGACTCCAGGGCTGATTTCCTGCGCTCACCTAGCACCTGGTCCTGACCGAACTTCAAACCTTTGACCTTGCCCAGATTGGCCTTCAAATCCTGGATGATTGAGCATATACCTTGACCGAGTTGCTTGATACCCACCCCATTTCTGCTCCTGCAAAGTGACCCATTGTCCTAAGAGAGGTGGTTCTCCTAAACCTGTGGACTATAGCACACCTTAATGTTAGACACGGCCTTTTGAAGAACATTCCGCAACCAAGCTACTCTCGTAACCCGAGCCACCGTAGAAGTGACCCTCGTGGTGCGTATCACTTTGGAAGACACTCTCGTAACCCGAGCCACTTTTGAAGACACTCTCGTGATTCGGGTCTTCACAGCATCCAGAGCGTTTGGCTCTGCACTGGATGTTTGATCAGAGAGTGGTCGAGTTGCCGTTGGTGTAATTTCGGTTGAATCTGTAACTGACGATGCGGCCCAAAGTGGAGTCCTAGGGGACGCTACCGAGTCCTCTAACTTAGTGTTTTCAGATGAACCGACATCCTTAGGGTTTGTGTCCTTTGCGCTTTCTGTTACTGCTTCAACCTCAGGATTAGTGCCAGCTGATTTAGGGACTGCAGATAAATCAACCCCCTGTGGATCCATTGCGCTTTCATTCGCTGTTTGCACCTCAGGGCTAGCTTCACTTATCTTAGTACTTATTTCAGATGAAACAACCTCCCCGCCTCCCTGTCCGGTTTCTCCTACAATTTGCACCTCAGGATGCACATTACCGTTGACCGCCATGATTCCATCAGTGGAATTTTCTAAACCTCCTGGGTTTACCCTCCTCTTGATACTAGCCGACCTTCTGACACTTCGGCTTTTTTGCATACCAATTGCTTTTGCATAATTGAATATTGGTTTAGGAGTCTGTGGCTTTGCGATTCCGTTCCCTGTTTCCTCCGAACCTTTCTCATCATCCTTATTTGAACCGTTTCCTAAAACCTCATATTCTGTTCCTTTACGACCATTCGCGGTTGGAAGATCAACCTCCGTTGTAGCCATTGTAGACACAGGTGCTGTTCCTTTTAAATCCTTCCCCTCACTAGCGGTTGTGTTGTCAAGCTCTGAAATGATCGGGGCTGTAACAGGTGTTGTTCCCTTTGAGTCCTTCTCGCCTGTGGTTGAATCCTGAACTTCCGTGATGGCTACAGCTGAGAATGGAGGCGTTTTGATTGTGTTCTCAGCGGTTGGCTGTGGGACAGCTTGGAAGAGGACTGTTTTCTTCAGACCTTCTTCCTTTTTCTTCAAAGCAGCTATTCTCTGATTACATGCTTCCAAATTAGAATTCTGTATGAAGGAGATGCCTATGACAGTTCTAGCACGACGACACCATGTGTAAGCACTGTATCTAACAAATATAGGCCGCGCCTACGTACAACAGATCACAATTTCCCTCTCTTACCATTGTTTCAATTTTCTTCCGCTCGTCATCAGAAAGCGTGAAGCTCATCCTCAGGTGAATTCGTCCTCCCTCTCCGAGCTCTACAAATTCATCTCGAGAGCCTTTCTGAATAATAGAGGGGATTTCAATAGCTGCAATTGCACCACAAGAAACCGATCGTCAGCCACTGCTGTGACCTAAATGAAAACCATCAAAACTCGGGAGGCACAAAGTTCTGAATGGAGAAGGTTGAAGTAAGATATAAATATTTCGCTAACACGCTAGCTGCAGCACAATACCCGAGGGAAAACAAGACGAGGTAAAAAAAAACTCCCACCAGTTTGTGATACAGATCGATCTTCACCGTCGCAAATGGAAATCCCCAGCTTGTCTCGCAAATTCATCACAGGGCTGTCCAAAATTCAAGAATTGTGTTTCTTCGTTACATCATTTAAGTTCACACCTCATCATTGGTATGCCTTAAATCCCAAAGCAAGTTCCAGTATCAAATAAACACCAGTATAATGCATCATAACCGTCACTTACAAGGCGAAGTCTGAATTCCATGGCTGAATTTCGCCTCCTGCAATTTTTAGGGGCGGCGTCTTACACAACGTTGGCCCCAGAGTGACTGCACGAGGACACATTCACCAACAGGCAGCTGAGTTTAGAACCAGTTATGTACCGTAACCTAGGACATGCATCACATTGTAATTGTACAATCAAGTGGAATTGCCCTTAAAAAACGAAAAGAACCCAATCGGCGAAACTTTGTTACCCAAAAACAATTATGGGCTCTAACTTGAACCCACCACTGAACTCTGCAATTTGAGACAGTGAGCTATAGCAATACTTCATCACTATATCTAAGACTGGAGAGTATGAAAATTTGGTTCCTCCGCACCGATGTAAAATCATGGAGAGAAAAAGAGATAGGTCCAGCAATGTCAGTGTGAAGGTGGAGTACCTTTAGCAGTTATATTATCGCCAATCTCCCCATCTATCAAGCAATAAACAACATGAGAAACCAATCAGCTGCAGATAAATCGAAAAGCACTCGACAAAAGTAAGCCAAAACAGGAGAAACTTTCGAAAATGGGTTATATGAAGAATTGGCATAAATCATCGTTCACAAGTAAAGAGTAATACCTGTAAGACCTTTGGGAAGCTCCACTGCCTCCAAAACTGCAGGCATACAACACAGACCAGAATTAGAGGTGGGCACGTGGTTAAACAGGTGATCTTCATGGCGGACAGGAGACCAGCTCTTAGATAATTTTGAATGATTAACTCCTTCACAGCAGCGTAACCTAGTTGATTGAATTTGTACATACAGCCTTGGATTGACATTGCAAGCAAAAGTGTATGATAAGGTACAAATTGGAAGGAAACATTCCGAGTGACCAATATCTCGATGAAAAATCTAGTGTGTGCAATGAAGCTGCAACGCCTCTGCACTCTGCACCAAGAGATGCAAGAGATATTCACGAAAGCAAACGACACTCCGGAAATTCATGGAAAATTAACAAGAATGTTTAGCGATATCAACAAGCCTCACGGAAACTACATAAAACTGCTTTCAAACAAAAAAAATGTGATACTAAATGTGACACTGCCACTTGGAAACACGTGGTAGGGCAATCTCGAAACTCCCACTATGTATCACCCAAACAGACTTCGAGACAAGATACTCTCAAGCTGGCTTCTTGTGAATTATTAAACCTTAACTATTTGCACTGAAAGGCCCCTCTCTATTCCAGAATCAGAGATGACTTCCCTCACCCACTACGACAACAGAAACTCTCAAGAACAGGAGCAAAACCGAAGCATGAGTTGAGCAAGGCTGTAATTCAGACCTGAAACACGAATGGTCCCAGGCATTGTCCCCGACTAACTCAAACTCGGACTTCGTATTCTTCTCCCTCGCCTTCTATACCCTGGTGCAGATAAAGAATGACAGAAAGTAGAAAAATGGCAACCCAGAAAGTGGTAGAGCTAGTAACATCAGCTTGCTCCGATGTGCAACACCAAACTCTACGCTGCAGGAGTGTAATTTGCATCCCCTGCTGAATACCATTCTTTTAGGGCAACTATTGTAAGTTCCTCACATCCTCAGTCTTCGCCCCTCATATATCCAGCTGTTGGCCATATATCACTCTCCTGACGCTCTCTCCTGCAGACTCTTCAACTAAATACCTCTCGAAGACCCGAACTTAAATACACCACTACCCTCGGGATCTTACTCAGAAGCAGAGCCCGTAATGCGCCTCCACACGGCAAGCACCAAACACATTCGGGCAGCTTTACTCGTCCGCATGACAGGCATGTCAACAAAGCGCTAGGCACGACCACTACAATTCCTAGTCTCACTCCGTCGATCTCGGTCCAATTCGTAGGCTCTATCGCTCTCTCTCTTTCACACTCTCTCTCTTTCTCACACTCTCTCTCTCTCTCTCTCTCTCGCACTCTCTCACTGTATTTCTAACAATCTCATCCACAACTCAGCGCTGCAAACCCAAATGGGCAAAAAGCCTCAATTCCTCATCATATCCACATAACTTGCCAGCCCCAAAGGAGCCAATAAAATTGAGACACCAAACATTACAGCTGCGCTACCGTTACACTGATAATGGATTACCTACAGTCTCACCCCGCGAAATCAGAAAAGTACACAGATGGTAACAGCCCGTTTGTGATAAGCTGGAAGGGATCTCTGCGGCTCTCGTTTCAGTAATCTTGGTTCTGGATGGTGGGGCAGCGGCTAACCCTCAGTTGGCCTTTCACTCATGTTAACCCTGGTTAACTTCCTTGTGTGTCCAATAGAATCTAGTCTACTATCAAGACTTGTTGACTGTTACCATCCCGACACTTGTACAGCGTGTGATGATACTTCGGAGTTGACGCTACGTTGTGTGAACCTGGAGCTGGAGTACAGTAGCCTACGGAGATGTGTTGAAAAACAACATATAATTTATTGTTATTCACAACATACGGCGGTGAAATGGACATAATTTGACAGGGTGACTGTTACAGAATGTAGACCCCAATCCTGACATCATTGAGATATCATTGAAAGCCTCACGAACGTCAGAGAATACGGAAGAGAGAAGTTTGATAAAGGGTCGCCACTATCTGATCTGTAGAGTGCGGACGGAGATTCTCTTCTAGACTGGTGGCGGCTGCATTGCCGCTCTAGGCTTCATGTGCTTGTAGAGGGACAATACTATGTTGTATCTTAAATTTCGAGACAAGATTGACAAGACTGACTAAAGACGAAGCAAAGCGCATTGCTATTTCTTCTTAATGAACCGGCTGACAAAAGAGCCGTACATAATGATACTCTGCTGTCTACACCCAGTCCAGGCAAAGAAAATCTGCGGGTGAGAGGAGCATACTGTGATGCTGTAAACAATGGTTGCTGCTTCTCAATTGTAACTTTCTGTGAGTAACAGCTATCTAAATGGCCTTTCAGCCTGATACAGGAGGTTGTCCTAAGAGGTTCGTGGTCTATCATTGTACAGAACGGTTTTCGAAAGGAAGCTTGACAAGGGTAGCATTCCCATAAAACTCCTCCAGGTTGTAGTACTCCCTTTCCTTTGGCAGGAAAATATGGACCACGACATCGCCTGCGTAACACCTAACAGTTAAATACAATTCGCCGGAAATCTCGATGTGAAAGATAAAAGGCAACAAGTGGCTTGCTAGAAGCCAAAAAGGGAAAACCACTCAACGACCAAATAAAAGGATATTAACGTGCAACCATCGGAAATAAGTCTAATGCGCAGCTGCGAAACTATCTTAATCATTAGAAGTAGCACCTTCTTTGATGACTCAGGCTGTTGGGTATCACGAAACCAGATATGAGGGATATCATCAAATTTAGAAAAAAGAATGTCATCAGCTTACCAAAATCTAGCAAAGTCCACGAGTTTGGCTTGGAATCGCCTTTAGGAAAGCGGTTGAACTTCGCTTCAGCTATATCCCGCATCCTCTTTCTGCATCGTCCATACAAGAAACACGAGCGAATATGAATACAATGACACTCGCTGCGCATTATGATTACAAATCACTTGGAGAATCATACGAAGACACGCAAGTGGCTAATACTATTGGTGTACGAAGGAAATAACACTATTTAAATACTCGTGTAGGATAATATTCATTGAAGCGGATTTATGATGCAGAACAATCCTCTCGAAAAGAATCTCAACATACCCCACTGCATCAATCTGGGGTTTGGAGAAGGCGGTAACAACAACGAAGAAACGGGCCCAGTAGATAAGCGGCTTCACACACAAAACCTGGATTTCACTGCCCTTCACATCGTTGGCAGCCTCAGCCAAGGCCACCGCAACTGCAATTCACTTGCACCGAATGAGTAAGCAAACAAGGCAGAATGATGGATTAAGACTAATTTAGGATGTCCCGACTTTCTTACATTATAAATTGAAACACGTTAACGTCATGGCTCAGGAATGAAAGTGAAGATCCTAAGGAAAGTTGACACCGACAGTTAGTCACTATTAACATCCAAGATCTTGATGATAAGTGTATTCTGTTAATAAGACCTTCCACAGTTGATATTCAACGCCTTAGGTTTTTCACATAGCACAATAGAATGTTATTCAGCAGCCACGCATGGCCATGCAAATTAATCCTTGGTAACATCAAACTTCTTTCGACCTGTGTCTGGAAAGTACTATCCTTAAGACAATTCAGCTTCGTGCATACTGAAGGTTCTATAGCAGACAAGTAGTTCGAGAGAACATGTTCTTGGACAGGTAAAAAGCATGAGAAAAAAAACTATGGTTATTTGTGAGTGAGAATAAATGACAGCATAAAATAAAAGGATTAGAGACTAACAAGCCAGACTGTCAGAATCCTCGTCGACCTCTGAAGTAATACTGTTCGACTCCTCATTGTCCCGGACAGTTTCTCCATACTCTTCAAACAAGGCATCGAGGTCTACGTCTCCTAGCTGATCAATTTCTGAATCCTGGCACGATTTCAAATGATGATAAAAATAAATAAATAATACCATGAAGATTAGAAAGCTGAACTTCACTGCCAACGGTTACTAACAACTCGCACATTTTAAGCAAACAAAGAGTTACATACACCCTAACAAATATGCTATCTTCACTGGGGAGAATACACATTGAAGAATGACTTAGCCCATTACAGGCATATACAGTCGTGTTTGGCATTGAAAGCACACATTCACGCATATTCAGCACGCGTCAAAGTCGAAACGAGAAGGACAATCAGAATGGAAACTTGAAGATTTGAAAACATGATCACAACATGCAAAATTTGTTTGTGGTCACGTGGCTCTCACAGAAACAACAGTACAAATCGGGACGCATCGCTGTAGCTTAAGTGCGAAAAGAAAAGTACTGATTTAATTTGAGGCTAAAATCCGGGTAATAAGGTTGTCAGGTTTACATGGGTCAGTAGCAATTAACAAGTACAATTGTATGCAAGGACTAGCAATTTCCTAATTGCTAAAATGGGAGTTTTCTATGAAAAAGGTTAGAAAATGTACATCTAGTTCCTCCATATTCCGACCAGTTTGCGAATTTGAGATGCTGCGGCACGGTTGGTCAGCATTGCGAAGTGAAACCCTAAACCCTCCCAATAGTGGGTTAAAACCACGCGTTCGAAATGTCGATGAAGAAGCCAATTGCAAGGCAGGCATGCTTGTACAGGGTGAAGCCTGCGCTCTAGCACTTACACTATGGCCGCAGCTTGTAGAAGCCGCTTGCCACAGGCTTGTAGGACTACATTGCTGCAGAGCTAGCACTTGGTGAGGATGAGGCATGGTATTTCACGTGAACCCCAAAACACTTCCTCACCTCTGTCTCAAAATCAACTACACCCCAACAATCAACCTCAACTTCTAGAGACTGTAGCTGAACCCACGCTACAAAGGAACAGAAGATAGACGCCTTGCAGCCACACCCCACCTTAGCAAATCTTCAAACGCAGCTAAACCCCTGGATTCTGAACCTCTCGAACAAACAATTCTACACAAGACACTCAACTTACAACTACACCGCCACTGAATTGTCTCACAAAACTGTAGAAGGACAACATACGAAACCCTAAGATCTTCAGAAAGGAGATATACAGCTGAATCGAACACTAAAAAACAAGCTCAAAAAAGCCCACTCACGAAAGCAAAAGTGGGGGACGAAGCACCAGAGCTTCACCATCGCTTGCAGATCATGCTGCAAGGGACGCACGGTCACCCACTACCGCCCGGCTACCCTATGCCCGGACTCAAAGATCTCCGCGTTTGCGACTCCGAGGGAGGTTTATCCATCGACCCAAAAAGTCAGCACCTCGCCTTTTTCATAGTGGATATGATACGTTTACTTTTTGAAGCAAAGGGGGGGTGGATCGTCTTTATTCATTCACACTCAAAGCGAAGGTTTCACACCTTGCTGGTGAAGGGTTCGTGCTCAGAAATAGCTCGTTTGTTTTCTCTGCGTGTGAATGCTTAAAAGGATATCTTTGATATTTTCTTTTTCTTTTTCTTTCATAATTCACCTCAAGGAGAAATAAATGTCACTCTTGTTATTTGAATTGAGAAGTTGAATTTCAATCATCATGTCAAAACCAATGTCATAGTTTAATTTTTCTGATGTTCCCATTATAGTTTACATATATATATATATGAAATTTTATATATACAACATCACCTTGTGCAACATTAATTATATATATATATATATATATATATACACATATATATTGGAATGTTAAATAGACCTATACTTATACTAAATAGACCCATTCTTGATAAAGAATATAATAATCATGATGAATGTGGTTGGTTTTTACTGGTCTTTGTTTGTGATGGTTAGGATGTGTGGGCCAATTTAGTAAAAACTTAGGTCTATTTAACATTCCCCCATATATGTATATATATATATATATATATATATATATATAATATTTTATGATCATTTGGAAAAAAGAATAAAGTTGTAATTTTTCAATTGTTGTTACTTGTATAAAACTTAAAAGTGATTTTTTTTTTTGGGAAACATGTACCTATAATACAAAAAATCAAAAATCAAATATACTTCAGATATACACCTTCTGTTGAAGAAAGACAAGAAACAAAAACAATATATAATATAACAACAACAGCAACAACACATACAGTTCAAAGCTATAGTTTAGTTTGTCAAAATATGGTATTGTGAAAAAATAAATAAAAATAAAAATAAATTGAATTTATGATTGAGCTAAAATTTGCTTGTAATTTGACTGCAAATTATGAATAGTAAGCGTCAAACTTAACCAGTTTGTCACTTCTCAACAAACGTCTTTCATAGCAGTCTCAAATATTACTTTTACTGTAGATTCTTTTGTTTAATGGGTTTTAACAATCTGTGTAAAACACACTTGATGTCAAAGTTGTAAAAGTACCAGCTAAATGTTTTCAAAATGCAACATAAAAGTATTAAAATTCTGGCCAAAAATCTTGTACAAGTAGCCACTCAAAGGCAAATATACATGGCCAATTTATATCTAATTTGATGGATCTTTACAAATTTTTATTTATAATTGTCTTTTTGTTTGTAACAAATTAAAGACATGTATGATACTTAAATGTTGCATAGAATACAAGAGAAATGGTGATATGCTACAAAACACTATGCAATTTTGACAAAAAATTGTGTGTGAACTTTGTAGCATACTAATAATAATGGTTTTATAATGGTAAAAGAAAAGAAAAGATAATTAGAGATAATATAGTTGGAATACATGAATGCTGAACTAATTTTATAAAAAAGTAATTGTTTGAAACATGCATATTAGGAATAATTTAAACAACAGACAATATAAAATCCGAATACATTTGATTAATTTAATGGTTTACTCCGTAATACATGTTTTACGGCATCTTTTATATAGAAACGGCTTTCATTTTTTCATTTTTTTATTAAACATTATAAATGAAGGTTATACAAAAAATTATACAAATGAAATCAATGTTCTTCTTATTAAAAATAAAAATTTCAACAATGATGTCAAAGTAAATCTATCATAAATGTGAAGTATTGTAAGATGTATCATAGAAAATATACCTTAACGCATTAAAAACACACATTAAAAATTTCATAAAAATAAGGCAAACAATAAAGCAAAGGTTGTTACATGAAAAAATTGTTTCAATAGATGTCAGGTTAGGAATGCCAAAAAAACAATTTAAGTTAAAATATAAGTTCAGATATTCAACATCGTGGATAAAAAGGAATTTGAAGAACAATTTAAAAGTTATAAAATAAAAAATAAAATATTTTTTTTCTTAATTATTCCTTTTTAATAAAACGTAAAGCACATAATCCAAGTCTCTATTTTAAAGTTTTTTGTAACAAACTGCCTACAAACAAAATGTCATTCATCTTTTTTTTATAACAAAATTTTAAGGATTATAAATATATTTCTAAAGCTTATATTTAGAATTTAAATGTTTTTAAAAAAATAAAAAAAATATTCAGAAAATTTTAAAATATATAATAAGAATTAAACAAGTATGTACATGATATCAATCTTTCATATTAAACATTTTTAAAGAAATTTATTACTAAGTATTGATGTTATGTCATAAAAATAGAAATAATTTAAAAAAGTAAACATACTAAAATAATTATTACTATTTTTAATAGTAAAAATAATATTCAAATCTATATACTTACAACCATGTCAATATTTTTTCTTATTTAAACCACTAAATTTCTTTCTTCAACATAATCATTGGACCTTTACCAATAAAATTATCAAAGATAAAAAATATCAATTAAGCACAAAAATGTGATTTAAGACTATATTTACTTAGATATTTTATTATAGTTTTTAAATATAATCATGTTCCTTAAATGTTAATAGATTTATTTTATTAGTTATTTTAAGGAAACATTATGGCTTTTACACATTTGAAACCATTAAAAAGAATTATACTTCACTTATATTATGTCTTAAGTCGTTTCTACCTTTAATAATTTGTAACTGATCATAAACATCTAATTTTAGTATATTTAATTTATTAAAATAATAAGCTTATATAAATATAAAATTATAAAGACCATTGAATAGTATAATAAAAAACCTTATATTGACCACTTAGCACGTGGATTAAACTATAAAGAAATAAATATAAAACTCCCATCTAAATTTATTTTTGAAAAACTTATTTAAACTTATTTAAGTATATATTTAAATATATACATATATTTTATGTATATATATATATATATATATATATATATATTTTATGTATATATATATATATATATTTTATGTATATATATATATATATATTTTTTATGTATATATATATATATATATTTTTTATGTATATATATATATATATTTTATGTATATATATATATATATATATATATATATTAACATAATATTAAAAATGAAATTATTGCAATAAATTTTAACAAAAAAAGATTAATAATAGTATTTTATCAATTTATATGTCATTATTATATATATAAAATAAAAAGTATTTCAAACTCCTAAATTGCTAATAAATAATTTACGTTTTAATTATTATTTTTTAATTCTAACTATTTTTTATTTTTTATTTTTTATTTTTTGACTAAAAAATAGGATGTACCTATTAGAATGTTATAAAAGAAAATTTAATTTTTAATACCATATTAAGCATTTTTAGATTACTAATTGAATTAAAAAAATAATTTTTAAATTAATAATTTTTTGTATATAGTAGACCACTTTGTGGTAATCTAAAGTTCTATTTAATTATCTTTTGTACTCGAAAGTATAGTATTCTTTTTGTCATCTATAATGTATTCCATCTTTTTAAAAGGGGAGTTTCATGTTCAAGATTTTTGTCTAATTCTATTTTAAAGAAATTCCAACTAAGTTGTCTTTAATCTGTAAAGCCTTATCAAATTAAAATTTTATTATATATCTCACTTTATACTTTTTGTTCAAATACATATTTATTTCTTTAAATTTTTATGGTCCACAAACAACGTTCTGAAAGTAATGATTAGATTTTATAAAAAAATTAAACTTGAAAGAATAATATTTGTAAATCTAGTTTTTTCCTAAGAAAAGACCTTCTATGGTCCATATTTTATAAATCAAAAGTCAACTCATGAAGATTTAAGATAGGCCAATTTAAAAAAAAATTAAGCTTGTAAATATTTTTAGAATTACTGTATAATAAATTTATTTTTTAAAATTAAGCATATAATGCACTAAATATCAATAATAGATAAATTTTTCCATTCTATATCTTGGTTATACTGTCATTGTGTCAAATTTGGCAAGAGTGAGATTAGAATTGAATATCAGTTAATTTAAATTTCCACTCTTTCAAAAATAGTTATTTATTTGACCATAATTTTTTATTTAAATAATTTAATTTATTTTTATTTTAATAGTGTTTGGGATTATTTTTTTGCAAGATTTGTCTTTCTAATTTAGCCAAATATGTCAAAAATTCTTCTTCTAATGTCTAAGAATAAGAATTGAGACCAAGAGTAAGTTCATTCACCAAACTATAGAACATATTGATTCAATGTGAATTATTTCCTATTATATTAGTTTTTTAAAGTATCTAGATTGCTTTAATAAAATTTTCTATTGAATACTCCTATCAATAATATGAACTATAAAAAAATTCTAAAAAAAATAATATACTCTTATGTTCTTAAAAGAAAGAAAATTTACAATTAAAAAATAAATATATGATTAAATATTATCATATATATAAGAATAGAGATTTCCAAATATAAAAGAACTAAGAAGTATTGAATTAAGATAAAGCAAATGAAGATGTTGATAAGAGTGAAGAAGGCCTCACTCTTGCTTCTATATATATTATCTTTAAAAAACTATGTAGCAATATCTTATAAGTCATATGATACATTTCCAACTTATACAATACATAACTAATATGTAAGGCAAGTTTTTAACATATGTACCATATGACCAACTTATAATATAATTAACTAAATGTGCAACATATGATCAACTTGTTGGCCAAGTTGTTAGTGTATCAATCATTTAAAAAGACATGTAAAGCCTATAAAGCTTCTAGAAAGCTTTCCAACTAGATATCAATAATTTAATCTATTTTTATTTTCTTCCATATAGTTCTACTTAGATAAATAAATATATTAGTCAATATAAATATTATTTATATTACTAT